ATGTATCATTAGAAACTAAGAAACATACATCACACTAATAAATTGTCTCTCCCATTCACCAGTCAATAGCTCCAAGGGGTCTTTAAAAAGTCAGAGTTTTGCTGCCCTTGTGATGTGAGGTGGTGAGCAAATGCTCGTGTATAAATCATGTAGCTTCTCATCCACTCCCTGGCTCTCTGGCACAGACAGATGGCAAGAGGAACATGTGCCATTATTTTCACCCACTGGTTTGCAGCAGCCTTTGCTCGTGGTAGGACAGCCGTGAATTGCATTGCTTTCCCTAACAACTGGAGTGTGTGTTTGGCACTTGGTTGATTTGAAATCTTCCGTGTTAATAGGTCATTTTCTCCAATATCCGTGTTTAACAATTCTACAGGTTCTCACTCAAAGACAGGTCCTTCATGCTGAAAGCAAATGGCTGCAGAGAGCCAGGAGACAGTGCTGGAATGGCCAGTGTGCGGAGCAGGTCCCAACGGACTTTGCCGTGCAAGGTCGGAGGTCACGTGGCAACTGGGCCACTGTGCTTGAGTTTGGGAGAGGAACTACCCTTAGCCGATTCACTGTCAAGGGAAAAACATGAAATGGAAAGCCAGAAAGTCAGGCTGTTCATCAATGGGGGGTGGGGCACAGGGGAAAAGGGGCAGCCCAGCGTCCAACCTGCCCATGTGTGCAACAGGGAAACAATATTGCCCAGTACCCCCAACCACAGTTGAATCTCCATCTGTGTGAGTTAAGAAAAAGCTCCACAGCCATTTATTTGTGAGGACAGAGACTGAGAAAAATAGTTTACCCAAATGCCTGTTTAAAAGCAATCCCCATTCAGGTTCACACTTTCTTTTTATTACATTTAAATTGTTTTAAAGAAAATATACACTGCTGATTTCCTAGCCTTCCCCCAAAAGGCCATGCGTTAAGCACTGAGTTAGTCACCGAGTTATAATCTTATCATCAGAATTTGCTACATAACTTGTGGGATGCCTTGTTCAAAAACTATTAAAAATCGCAAGACTGTGATAGCAGAGCATTAAACCAAGTGCGGGTCTTTTGGGAATGCACAGGTCACAGAGCCACGAAGCTGGCCCTACGTATGATCAATATTGAGAGCCCAGAATGTCTCAGGTTAAAAAAAAGGGTGTGGGGGTGGGGGGCAAAGGCATTCAGTACTTATTCCAACATGTCAAATCACTGGTGTCCTATCCCTGCGCCTGTGGTTCACTGTCCTCCTTACTGTGCCTGAAATCTGAATGCTGCGCTTAGTGTTTCACATGTGAGGTTGCCTCAGTCACCTGCCAAGCACGAGCTACTTCGTGCATTTTTTACAAGTGGTGTTAAATTCTAGATGTTCGGCAGAGAAAGACACAGTGTCACTGGAATACTGTGGTTGAGATGTTCACATTTCAAGTCAGGAGTAGCAAAATAAAATTTGCTCAAGTTATAGAAAAATAAAGGTGAAACCAATTAGCAGTAAGATGGGGTCTAGTCATCCAATTTTACTGGAGTAAGTGGTGATCACAAGAGAATTGCTCAGATATCTGGAATCGTATCTTTTTTTTATTGAATTTATTGGAGTGACATTAGTTAATAGGATCACATAGGTTTCATGTGTACATTTCTATGATACTTACTGCATTGTGTTGACCCGTCTCACAGGTCGAGCAACAAGGACTCTAGAGGGGGAGTGAGGATGAGGAGGGACAAGAGACCCGAGAAATGGAGACAAGACAGGGCTCTGATCAAGTCTTGTTTATTCTGGGGAGATCCACAGTATATATAGGGCAAGAAGCAGAAAAACAAGAACATTTGTTGCCAAGTGAAAAGTTTGTGGTAACCACCCTGAAGCAATTTCAAGTAAATATCATGTAAATATCACAGGTGGAACAAAAGATAAACAGGGCATAACTGGCTGACTTAAAGGAATGCAGAAACATTGTATGCAGAGATATCCTGCCTTGGGGCAGGAGATGGCAGAGCAGATTTTAGCAAAATGGATGCCATGCAAACAGTCTCCCACATTGTGTGTCCACCATCCAAATGGAATTTTATCTTTAAGCACCACAGCTCTTTGTATTGACAGGAGCAGTCTGTGGCCAGGCCACAGTACCCATTCATTGTACTTCCCCATGACTGTAGGGGCCTCTGCATTTCAATGACAGTGCTGGGCTGCTTTTACAGGGAGGACCTCGGGCATTAGAGGGTGACTAGCTATTTGCTCCTAGATCCAGAGACTGGGCTGCTGTGCTTTCCTAACCCTGAGATTCTGCGCCGAGGCCTCCACTGGGTCCCGCACGCCTACTGTCCTTAGGACGTTGGCTCTCAGGAGGGATGGGAGTGGTTATTAGAATCTCATAAAGAGCTGTTCCTGAACACCCTTTCTTACTCTTTTATGTTTGCTACCTTGGATTTGGTGAAGGCAGTGGGCTTCTAGTAGAGAATGGAAGGTCTCGCCAGGGTGAAGGACTGGGGTTTAGACAGCTTCTGCACCCTGGAGACCTTAACCCTCCCGCCAGGACTGACAGCTTTGCTCCTAAGGGCGGGGCACCTTAGACTGCTCACATCCAGGCCCCTCCACAGCTAAGTGCAAGCTTCTGACAGCTGAGTCAATCATTGCCTCCAGGACAGAATTAGATGTGAGACGTCTGCACACGGGAAGTCCTAACTGGAACAAAGTCCACCAAAGTGTGTGGTGAGCTCATTACAAAATAAAGATCTCCCTGTTTGATCCAGATGAATCAATCTGTACATCTGTAGACCAGACGAGAAAAGCTTTTTGAAGGTCTCATAGTCATTGAGCACTTATGACTCACGGTCTGTTCCACACACTTCATATTTGGACATTTAATCCTCACAATCCCCATTTTAGAGATGAAGAAATCAAGGCACAGTGTGACCTGTGCAAGACGATTCAGAGAGCAGAAGGAAGACAGAAGCCCAGGCAGATGGGTTGCAGACTAAACATCATGTCTTCGCTATCCCCTGGTCCGATGGAACCTACATACTAACATGGCAAAAAAGCAAAGGGAAAGAATGGCTGAGGTTGGTTTCCATTCAAAGCCAGGCTTTGCACAACTTATCTGTCTTACAAGCCAACCCCACAGGTTTATCATCACCACTTCCAAGTAGAAAGTAACTTTCCCAGGGCCACAAAGCTAAAGGGTAAGCCGGGATTTTAACTCAAGTATATCTAGACGACTTCCACACTCATGTTCTTTTCTATCACCCCAAGTCAACAAGCTTAACGATGTTGCATCTGGCTTTGAGGGTGTTACTGCCAACCAAGAAGGTACATGCTACAAGAGTTGGAAATCCCAAAATGAAATCAGTCGGTGGAAGGAACCTGTTTCCTAACTTACAGCCAACTCTCCAAGGAGAAGCCTAGGGTAGGAGAGAAAAGGTTTTGTCCCAGAAGTGTCTGTTAGCAGAGTTATGAGAACAACATTGTTCAATAAAATCTGAACAGATAATACAGTTGGTAAAGTGACACTTGTTTAAAATTATTAAAAAGAGAGAAAACAATGTTTTCACAGATCCAGGGTAACCTTGAAAAAAGATTTTTCTTTTGAAAATATTCTGTCCCACTGGAGGGAAAGGAAATAAAAGGAAACAGAAAAGCCAATAAAAGAAAAGCATGAGCTTGGACGATGATCATTAATCTTCTATTCAAATGGTAGTCAGGGCTGCAGATTTCAAATAAGGCTTGAATAGCAACTGTATTATGAGACAAGTTAAGCACTGGGGGTACACTCGGAAGTGAGTAAGAGATCTAATTGCATACCTGATTCTGGAGTCATACAACTGACCGCAGAAACACCAGTTAAATGCTCATGAGTTTAAAAGTCAAAAAGGAGGGACGTCTGTAATACTTTCAACAATAAAGATAAATTTACAATGATAATAATAATAATAATAAATATAACTCCACATTTTTGGGTAAGAAAAGTAGTTAATTAAAATTATAATCTTAGCAAAGTATTCCATGTGTACACACAAGTCACTCACTTTATAAGCTTTAATGGTATTGACTGGGTGATTTTCCTGGCCTAGAGTTAGTGCGGGAACATGAAGAAAGTGTGGGGACAAGGAGAAAGAAAGGGGCATGAGATGGAAAATCTAGTAGGGGCTTGGCAGGGAGGGGCAGGGGAACAAGAGAGAGAGCCCTGGATGAGTGTCCTGTTTCATTCAAATTCTTCTCTTCACAATACATTTACAATAGTTGACCCCGAGATAGATAGCCCAAGTGTGAAATAAACTATGCATGAAGTGATCGTAATCTCTGAAGTCATTATTATAAATATGTATTGAATAGCTTCTGTACACTAGCCCCTATATCTCCTTTGCTGCTTTTAAGAAAGTTGGAAATCCCTTTTGGAGACCAGAGACATGATATGACATGAAGGTTTCACTAAGTAGATGTTAAGAGAGTCTACATTAAAAAAAACAAAAAACAAAAAAAAACTCCAGTAGTTCCATATGTTATGATAAAAATAAATTTATTTAGGTAAAAAATACCATCTTTCCTTGCTTGACAAAGGCAAATCCCCACCACAGAGGAGCCTGTTTGTTAGAACCAACAAGCTCTGCTACAGTTGGCTTCCACGTGTGCACAAACAGCAGTGAACACAAGTGACGAGGTGTTTCCCATTCATCTCATGACCGTGCCAACGGTTGCTTCATATCATACTGAAGAAAACCACAGGAAAATAGGCCAAGAAATGTTCACTGAAAGAGGTCTTTCTGTTAACTTAAATGTCACCTTGAAATGGCCTAATGGTTTTCCAGCTTGAGTCTCTAATTTGGTATTTCAACCAACTCATCTCGGTGCAGACCATGAATTAACAAATGTCTTCTAAGCCAAGAATCACTTTTAAGACAAACCCCTATTTGAGGATAAACAAACACCTTTAAATGTGTGGCTTTAAACACCATTGTTTTGCACATTCTGAAATGGGATTTTTCTTTTTGTGCATCCCAACACTGTCATGTCATAAATTAAAAGAATTTCATTACCACTGATCTATTGCACCAATGCCCAGTAATTGACAGCAGTCTAGGCTTCATCATCCAAGCAAAGAAGGGAACTTGGGGACTTCATTTGTGCTCCTCCAGCTGACAGTCAGTCCCTTTTATCACTCCACATTGAACATCAGTATGTTTGGACTTGCTGGTCCACCTCATTTGGGGTCCCTCTGCACTGGCTGGATAAGGATGCCTGAAACTCAATTATCTTTGGCTGAAGAATTTTAATTAGTAAGTATCAAGTTGTTATCACTTTCTTTCCTGCAACAGAAAGGGGTAGGAGGAAAGAGAAAAGAGAACAATGACTCAAAATCTTCGAGAAGGAATAGGAATACTCCAAACTCTGGGCATAAATAGGTTCTCAACATGCTAAGGGGAACATTAAGAAGGAAAAAAATTGAGAAGGGCATTTGACATTATTCTTGGTTTAGTACATGCTCTGGGGCGACGTGGAGGACCTTCCATCTCCCTCCCTGGACACAACCTTCTTCACACCTGAACAGCAGATCCTCCTTCTTCACAGCAGCAGAGAAGGAGAAAGGTAAACTCCGCATCTGTTCAACGGAGCACATCTTTCCAAAGAACCACATTACACTGGAGCTGGAAGAGGTGTCAGAGGTCACCTGCTCCCCCTCATGACCCTGAGGAACCAAGCGGTGTAGGAGAGGTCGTGGGACACACTCGGTAACTGGCAGAGTCTAAGCCAAAAACCCAGGTATTCTGATGATCAGGCTTGAGGCTCTGTCAACAATTTGAAGGAGAATCATCTGTGGTGGTTGCTGGACGGCTTGGTTGAAAGAGAGTGACCCCGTCTGTGTTCTGGGGGTGGCAGAGCTGTGACAGTCAGGGCTGTCTGTCATGGGTGCCGAAGAGGGGGCCCACACACCAGTATCTGCAATGCCCTTCCTAATTCCTCTGGTTGCTCTGTGAGATCTTTCTCCAGTATTTACTCTCCATTCATAGCCTTCTTCGATTTGATTCCATTCTTTGGCTCCTGGCCTTTAAACACATCTAGGTGTACTTAATTTTTTATGAAGTCAAAGCTATCACTTGTCTCAAGGCCCAGTACAATCCATTTCCTTCATCGGGGGCTGTGACCTTCATTCACTCTCTTCAGGGTCCACCAAAACGCCCCCAGGTCTAGGCTTAGATCTGATTATTCGGTTCAGGATGTTCTAGCTGACTGCACCCACAACTGTCTTTGCTAACAGCCACCTCTGTTGTTATTTTTGATACCCTCTCTGTTCAAAACTTTGAACATCCCAGTTTTTCAGCTGATTTCCTTTGGTGGACTCTCATGTTCCACTTAGTTCTTTCATTACAGACGGCCTGACCCTCCGTCTGCAGTGTCTCAGCAATCCGAGCACAACTTAGGGCCAACTGTCTGCGGACACTGCTCCCCAGCACTCAGACCCAACCTTAGGGATTCAGCTTCAAGCCCACCCCTTCCATCGTTTACTCATTCCATACACTGCACAAGAAAACACTGGACAACCTCCTGGGCTTTTTATGGTGCAAACACACACACACACACACCAAACCCCAAACACCTATCGGTCACTTTCCAGAATTCACGACTACATTCTGAGCTGATTTTTGTTGTTGTTGCTGTTCTTTGCAGTTAACTACATAGTCGAAAAGCAACTTGGAGTGACTTTCCTTATACAAGGTGCCTCTGAGGAAACAGCTGCCTATTAAGAAAATTAATTTCCCCTTATCCCAGTTTCTATGCCAACAATCTAATGCTCTGAGAGGATACAATGTGATTTTAAAAACTGAACTCTTCTCAGAAGACCTCATTTTATATTTACCAGACCGTCTTTGGAAATGCTTCAATCGGATCCTTTCACATCCCAGGATGCGGCATGAATTGATTAGAAGGAAATCCATCCTGTGGTTTTAAGCACCAATTATGTTCCCCCACCTTCCTTCAGAAATGTACTTTAGAGAATCCTTCTCAAAAACCATGGTTTAGGGGATACTTTGAGTTAACAACCCCCTACCCTGACTAGAGAGGAAAACAAACATGAGTAAAATAAAAAAATATTATCCTCGTCCTAGTCCCTAAACCATCACGTGGAGGCTTTGCCGTTGAGGTCTAGACCAGCGATTTTCAACCGGTGTGCTGCAAGACTTTTCTAAAACATGCAGTGCCTGACTACTTAGCCAGGAACACTGACCTATTTTCCCTTAATAAGGGGTGGGGACCATCTGGTCCTCAGGCTGCGTAAGGCCCACAAAATCAATACCAGCTAACATCACACACCTCACCAAATTGGCCTGACCAAATATAGCAGACTAATTTTTAAGTTGATAATTCTGTGTGGCCCGCAAATGCTGTTATAAATATCCAAATGGCCCTTGGCAGAAAAAAGGTTCCCCACTCCTGACCTGTCAAATAAAAAAATGACAACAGCCAACACAACAGTAGCCGTTCAAGTGTGAATGAATCAAAATTATACCTTTTTTTGCCCTGGCCGGTTTGGCTCAGCAGTTAGAGCGTCGGCCCACGGACCAGGAGAGTCCTGGGTTCGGTTCCCGCTAAGGGCATGTACCTTGGTTGCAGTTTGTCCCCGGCCCTGGTTGGGGTCGTGTGGGTGAAGGCCGTTTGATGTGTCCCTTTCACATCCATGTTTCTCTCGCTCTCTTCTTCCCTCTCTCCCTTCTGCTCTATCTGAAGACAAATGCAAAAAATGTCCTCAGGTGAGGATAAAAAAAAAATTATACCTTTTTTTTTGGTCAGATTTGCAAAAAAACATCTTTTGGTGTGCCGCAGAGTTTTAGCAATTAGTTTATGTGTGCCACGAGAGGGAAAGGTTGGGAATCGCCCGCCTAGACCATTGTCTGAAGTGCCCTGATGAACAGTGAGCAAGGGCCGCTGGCCAGGGACGAGCCTCTGGCGTGCTCCCACGCCGGGACTGGACAGCCCCTCTCCGGCAGGCTTCCTGCCCCGGTCAGGAAGAGGATCCGTATCTCACGCGGCGGAGAGGGAACACGCCTTCCACACTCCAGACTCCTGCCTCTGCAACTGAGGGCTTCGACCTCCTCCGCTGGCCACTTCGGGCTCACCCTCTCGCCTTCAGGGACTAATTCCTGCCTTCTCACATCGTCTCACAATATCCCCGTGAGAGTTCAACCAGGTCATGTCGCTTTCTACCCTGTTTTCTAAGAATTCGTTTCTCAAGCCGGTTCCGAGGGAGGAACGACGGTCTTCCCCCGGCGGGCTGGCTTCTGAGCGTGGTGAGCGCTGGGAAGTCCTCTGCGAGGGCAGCTGGCCCGGAGCATGGGGACCAGCGCACAATACCCACCTCCTCAGACAGCACATGCAGGACAGGAGGGCCGAGGACTCTTTCTGACACTCCTCTTGGCTACTGCATTCCTTCAGGAATTCTTGCAGGTCCGTCATAGGAAACCCATTCTGTTGGTATTTCTTCAAAAAGTACACAGTGGTGTTACCTTGTTTATCAAGCGTGAGAAATCGCTCCCTTTGTCAACAAGCCAAACCCACCTTTGCTAACACACAACTCTCTCCTATCGGAAGCTCAGGTCCCAGAACTGATGTTAACAATGATGAATCAGTGTCGGTCCCAGGAAGCCAAGCAGGGCCACCACGGAGCAGAGGACAATCCAAAGGACAACACCAGGAAGAAAGCCAGGGTGAGGCAGGGGAGGGGTGTGTTAGAAAGAGAAATAAAGGAAATAATCCAAAGTTTTAAGAGCAGATAAGACTTCCCCTCCCCTCACCGCCCATGCAGAGCCCCCCTGAGAAGTAATCTCTATTTCTGCTTCTATGGAAGACGGTCCCTTAATGGGGCAGAAGGCAGTAGGTTGATCCAAACAGACACAAAGACCCCGAGAGCTCCTCTCTATGCTAAGTGAGGCCATCCACCACGTCACCAGGACGTGGCCCACCCACAGAGACACTGCCACATCACAGTCGGGCCCACGGAGCAGAAGTGTGCGTGCCACAGCTCTCTGCATGCCCAGCCCCGCTGGTAGAGCCGACCCTCCACTCCCCCAGGGAAACGAATCTCCCCTTGCACACAATACACGTGCTCAGGAGTGTCTCCAATGAACCAGGTTCTTAACCTGTCTGAGAAGGTTCCAGAAGAGGACAGCACCCTGAGGCACTGACACAGCACCCTGGTTGCTCCCCTGTCAGGCCTGAAACAGGACTTTCCAAGCACGACTATCCGCTGTGCAGGGGTCACCACCAGAGGCAGCAGAACGACAGCCAGTGAAATGGACCCAGACTGAAAGGACACAGAACCCACCAGGTGGCTCAGGAAAATAGGAAGTGAAACAGCCACAAAAGCCTCCGCTTCCCACTGGTGTTCCAATATCGGCACGGTGTCAGGGTGGTGGTCACCCCTTGTCACTGAAACTTACCCCTCAAAGCCTAAGCTCCAGGACAGAAAGGCACACCTGTCGCTGCTGAGACCAGCAGCCCAATTACCTGCCTCACCAACCTCAGCCCATCCTCACCCATCACCTTTGCCTTTGTCACCACACCTCCAAACCAACCCCCCGATCTGGGCGGCAGGGACAATGTCCTAAATGCATATTTAAAACTAAACTGCAACATCCGACAAGTCTCTTTTCTGTTTTCAAATATGTTTTTATTGATTTGAGACAGAGAGAGAGACAGGAAGGGAGAAGGTGAGAGAAAGAGAGAAACATCAGTCAGCGGTCAGCCTGCCAACCTGAGCATGTGTCCTGACTGGGACTCGAACCAGTGACCTTCTGGTGCACAGGAAGACACTCAACCAACTGAGCCACACCAACCAGGGCCAACAACTGTCTTTTCTACAAAACCTCAAGATTTAACTAAAATGTAGTATTTTAAGTAAGTAAAAAATATAGTTTTTCCCCTATGTTCCAATCTACACAGAATTTACAGTTTTCTTGACAGGAAATAATGATAATTACTTACCTTAATGGTGTCATAAGAGTCTGTAATAAGTGCAATGAAAAGGCTGAGAATCATATATATGAAGAGGCTGATGAAGGAATATAAATACAGGCGACTGAACAGCCACACCAAGATGCTCTTCTGCTGGATTTGAGCGAAGGTGGCAAACATGTCATCGCCGTTGACCAGAGAAAACAGACACTCAGAAACTGTATTCAGAGCTACAAACTGAAGAGGGGAAACCAAAATTAGTTTTTGAGATATGTCATCCAAAAGAGCAGAGAAGTATCTAGTTAGCTCGTTTGGCTGAGGCTGCTGTTGTCACCGTTATAACGAGTAACATTCATTTGAAGACAGTGAGAACACCCAAGCAGGCACACAGTCCGTATCCAAAACTCCCTGGGACACTCGCTCTCTCTGGACATTTCCCTCCATGTTTCCCCATGCATCTTTTATATATGGACCGTCATAGATCTAACAATTTTGGATCTTGACTTCTTTTCTACTTAACATCATCTTATTCACATGTAGAGAGAGCATTGAGTCACATAACAGACCACTCCTTAGAAATGTCAAGTTTAACTCCTTCCCTGTCGCTGAGCCTCCCCATAATGTTTGCTATTGTAAAGAGCAATGTAATGAGCATTTCTAAGCCTCATGTCTTTCCCTGTTATTGGGTCTAAGTGATGAACATTTATAAGGCTGTAGTCTGCTAAACAAACCGCTTTGGACAGAGCCGGAGCAGCTGTGTCCTACAACCAGCAAAGACGCAGGACCGGCTTCAGAAATGTTGCTAAATGGATGGTTCGCTGTAGCCTTTCCAATCACAGATCCTGGTGATGTTAGCACATTGAAAACTAAAGATTCTCAGTGATGGGAGCGTGAAGGATGAACGACCATGCCCCATGCCTTCTAGGGGCTCCCAGCTAACAGCGGACAGACCACAACCAGCGTAATACGACGCCCCGTGGGAGAGCTGCGTGGGGAGTCTAGGGAAAGTGACCCTCAGAACTGGGCCTGAAGGCCGAGTCCCCAGTGAGAGGAGAAGGGTAGGATCTGCTCGGTGAATATGGGGACATACGGAGCTGAGCCTCAGAAGTGGCCGGAGAGGCGTGTCCGTGCCACAGCGCATGGGGCCTTGCTTGGTCTTCCGCATTCTTCAAACTACTGCAGGCCAGCACTGTGAACCAGGAAAACTTTCAGCCGGAAGGGTGACCTGACCTGTTTCTATAGGGAAACCAAGATCTTCTAGAATGGGGAAAGCCCAGGGCAGGGGCCCCCGAAGGGAAGAGTGCATGGGGTCCAGGTAGATTGGAAAAGGAGGACACTGAGAAGAAAACAGGTCTGGGAGGGATGAGTGGAGGACACTACAAATGGACGCAGTTTTAGACAAGGCCGGTGTAATGCCAGGTGTAGTGTGAGGTGCAGGTGTAGATATGAGGCCGTCGGAGGCGCACACCTGCAGCCCGGGGGCTGGGCTGAGGCTGGCGTGCCTCTGAAATCCACGCCAGCTCTCCCGGCTTAAGTGGCTGACAAATCCTGCCACCACTGAACACAAACAGCAGGTACTTAATAAATAACATCTCTGGGGCCAGAGGGTTAACATTAGATGAAAGCCCTAAGGAACAGTAATGACCTAACAGGCAGAAGATGCTACAGCTTTCAGAAACAGAGCGGACAAGGTCCTGTAGACTTCTGAGCCTAATTCTGTCCTGTGTCCCGAAGTCGGCGTGGCTTTGGGGACAGCCAAGTCCCTGCGGAACGTCTGTAAAACATCTCCACTTGGAAGCTGTGCTACTTCCCATTCAACAAACCAAAACCTCCCGCCACCCTAACGTGGAACTGGGCTTTCCTTCCCCATTTCCCTGTTTCTGTCTGTGGGTGGATTACTCCCCTCTCTCTCCAACCGTCAAAGTTCTGCTGCTCCTACGTTGCTAGGATCCAGTCTGTCTACTCCACCCATGTGTCTACCTCTGTCTAGATGACTACAGAACTCTCCAAGAAAGTCTTCTCCGCTCAATCTGTTTACCCTCCAGTCCACGCTGCAGCAAGGTCTAAACTTCAGAGAATACAGCCTTCTGGTCATTCCTCCTGTGTAAGAATATACGAAGTCTGGATGCAGAGCAAGAATTCGGGCCAAGGAGGCTGGGATGAGACCCTCCTTCCATCTCCTCGTCAGAGTTGCCCTGTGCTTTTCTCCTCCCACACCAGACCCGCTTCTCCATCTTTTCCTCGTGGGGTGTACTCCCTTCATCTGATGTCATGTCCCGTGTCCAACGCAGCCAACATTAAAGGGCTATTTCGAAGTCCACCTCAAGACAGGTGGCCTTCACTGCTCTTGTCCCTTCTCTGTGTCAGTTAGAGCCACAGCGGAAGCTGCTGGTTGGCCTTCTAATTGGTTTTGAACGCACTTCTCCATACTCCATCTGGATGGAAACACCTCCCTCCTCCATGACTGGGTGCATGGGGTCAAGTGTGACCCGGGCAGCTGACACAGATGCAACCAGGGGCCGCGCCTTGGCTGTGTCGGCAGCAGCTCCGAAGCCGCTCCCCTGGCTTCAGAGGGGACATCCAGTGGGCAGGTCCCAGCAACATGCAGACGACTGAAGAGTAAGACAGGCCGTTCTCAGGGTAAATATTCCCATCCGCACCGCTAGCCTTCAGACAACACAGTTAAAGCTGGCTCCTAAGGATATCGATTACAGTCTAACAGCACCATTAATAATTCATACGTCTCATAGTTTCTTTGGGACTCTGGCCAATTCCTTCCTTTAGTTTCAAGAACCCCTAACAGTTTGTTTGGCAGGTTCTAGAACTGCAAGTGGCTAGTTGGTCGGCACATATCAAATTCATTCCTTCGTTTCCAACGCGGTGACTAGTATCAGTCTAGACACAATACCTGTCTCAACATCAGTGTTATTTACAACATTATACCTCTCTCTCCTCTCTGCAGGTGAGATTTATTTAACCCACCAACTGTTAAAACAGAGACTCAGTAAGGTGCGTCGGTAAGTCATTGGTACACACGCTGTCATTTTGTACCACAAGTGGCAGTGAACCAGTTTCCGTGGCCAAAATCAGCAGTAGAAGTGGACATTAGAAATACCCACAGGAGGGAGAAATAAGGTTTTAATGTGCTTCCAGACAAGGACTGCATTTATAGGGAGTCGCTTTGGTTCTTAGGAGCTTGTAAAGCCCCTGGAAGGCAGGTACCGCGCTGCCTCTCTGCTTCTTGTTCCTGTAACACACTTGCTGAATCCTTCCCACATCCTGTGCACCACGCTGGACACGGGGAATACAAACAGCAAGGAGCCTGCAAGAACTCAGGCTAGAAGAACCTGACAATGCTTGGTGCACAGTAGACATTTCATAAATATTAAACGGCCCTGGCTGGTTTTGCTCAGTGGTTAGAGCATTGACCCATGGACCAGTGAGTCCTGGGCTCGGTTCCCACTAAGGGCACAGACTTCGGTTGTAGCTCATCTCCGGCTCCGGTTGGGGTTGTGCGGGTGGCAACCGGTCGGTGTGTCTCTCTCACATTGATGTTTCTCTCTCTCTCTTCCTCCCTCTCTCCCTCTTGCTCTCGCTGAAGATGGATGCAAAAGTGTCCTCGGGTGAGGATAAAAATAAATAAATAAAATAAATAAATAATATTAAACAGGTATTTCCAGAAAGAGTCCCACAGGTTCTATGGGACTACAGTGAGAACCCAAGCATTTGTTTCATAAATGAAATTTGGAAATCAAACCAGAAAGAACTTTCATTTAAATGAAAACATAACCTGGTGTGTGTCAGAGAACAACATAAAAATTGGCTTCAGGAGCAATACTTGGGTTTCACGTTTTAACTGGTAACAGTCCCTTTAAATAAGAGCGACGCCTGGCTAACACTGGGGGCCTCGAGAGCATGAGAGCACGAGATGTAATGAGAGTTCTGCCAAACTTGTGCCCCTGGCGCCAGCAAAGCCCAGCGATTTTTCCATGCCTTGGTGTCCCCATTCACAAAATGGGGACAATGCTAGATGTGACTTATTCCTCGCAGCAAAAATGTCCTCTGGAAAGCCACATGAGAGTAATGCTCTTCCAAATTTCATCTTGAATTATTAAACATCAGCAGTCTCCGGCCCTCTGTGCCCGGACACTTGGATGGAGCGCTGTGCCAAGGTCCATTAGTCTGGCACCAACACCTCGGGACATTCTTGTACGTCTTCCCTCTTTCAGCTGGACCACTGAAACCCGGTGTCGACCAGGAAGCAGAACAGTAGGTCCTGCTGTCCATCAAGCAGCAGCATAAAACTAGTTCTCCTGATTCCTCCTCTCGAGAGTGGTTTGTTTGTTTAAATAGAGAGTTCGCTTCTACGCCCAATGTTGCTATGATTCTAGAAAACACTTGCTGTGCTGCCCAGGTAATACTGAAGGTCTTCTGATTCAACAGCGACTGCATGGCAGAACCTGAAGGTTTTGAGAGTTTGAATTGATTGGGGCGGGGGGCCCCAGGAGGCAGGAAATATTTCCAACTCCAGATTTAAAGAAGCAGCAACATGGAGAAAGAATGCATAGAAATCCTGAGTCAGACTGAAGATTGTCTCCTTCCACTGGTGAGTGTTTTCACTAAATTAACTGAACTACGCCTTTCTCCGATATATCAGCCTGGGTAGGGATGGGCAACAGATGCCATAAACAGACCTGCCAGCAGCCCTCATGGCAGCCCTTCGTCCTCCGTTCTGTGGGGCGTGGGCATGGTGGTGGCCACGAGCCACCTGTGACCAGGAGCACCTGATGTGCGTCAGGGTAAAACACACACTGGATTTCGAAGATTTTGTATCAAAAAAAAAAAGGAGTGTAAAATATCTCACTGTTCAGATAAAATATATCAAATCAATTTTATCAGCTTCTGTTTTAAGTTTTCCATGCTGCTACCAGAGCACTGTAAAGCACACGGCTCTCGTGATTTTATTGGGCAAAGCTGATCTGGAGCGTCCCAATCTCACCCGAACCCTCTAAGGGGACAGAACTGAACACATGAAAATGCAGTCAGATTCACGGAGCAAACTGAGAGAAATAAGACTGAGTATGTGGTTCTCTCGTAGTTCACCTCCTCTTTGGTCAAACGAAATGCTCTTCTGTAATGCGGTTTTAGGTAATACCAAGAAAAGTCCTACTGGGTATTGGTCAAAGCATGAGTATAGGAGTCAGGAGGGCCTGGCTGTGAATCCGACCTCTGCCATTTACTAGCTGTGTAGCCTCAGGACACTCATCTAACATAGTAAGATCCCTATTTTCTGTAAAATATATATTATTTCCCCACGGGACTACTGGAGAGTTAACATAGCAAGGGAGTCAAAGAACTTGGGTACCACATCTATCTAGCACATAGTGCTCAAGAACAGTAGCTATGTTAGTAAAATTCAAGCAACACTATCTGAGCACCTTCCAGACAGTGATGGGATCGGGAGATGAACAACAGAGGGGATAGGGCCACTTGTCCTGAGGCCTTGGAGCCAGTGAAGTAAATCTGAAATCTGTAAACTTGGTATTTATGTCACGCAGTGCAACACTGCCCTCTAGTGGCAATCATTTGGAGAGGCATGCGGAGAAGGCAGCAAGGAAAGAAGAAAAACGTCAATTTTCCTGGGCACTAAAACAGTACGTTCTCCAGATCAGAGAGATCACATCAAAGAACAATTTTTACTCATGAGTCATCTTTAAAGCACTGGCATGGAATTGGAAGAGCAATAATATTATCAAGAGATTTACTATTAACCCAGAGACTGTCACTTTGTTAATTCCACAGTTTCTACAACAGGAAAACAATCATTCTCTTTGGATATATTTAATGCAACCCTTAAAGAAAAGAAAGCCTGGGTGTGTGCCAGGTTACTAGCATATATTCAAGTAGGTCAAGACAGAAAGCTTGACCTTTGTGGATTGCTCACTCTTTGTGACAGTTTATAAACCAGATATGATCACATGTTTTGTTTCATGCATCAATCAAGGAAAATCCTTTGCATTTTACCTCTTCTTCCTGCAGACACCTAAGCCAAGACGACAGAACCATGGGCTACTGTGGAAATTAAACAAAAGAGAAGACAGAAATACTAAGCACAGTGCCTGACACACAAGCACACGATGTTGGCTGCCGTTATTTTTATTTCTGGTGTTTCTATTGTTCCAAATTCCAGAGGCCCATGGCAGAAAAACTGCAAGTTGTGATAACTCCTTTTACTTTTTTGGTTTGAAACCAAGGCCTACCTAATTTAATTTCCTGGTGTTTCTACCAATCAAAATAATTGTTTTTTAAAAAGATCAGCCTGGCTGGTGTGGCTCAGTGGTTAAGCGTCGACCCATGTACCAAGAGGTCGCCAGTTCGATTTCCATCAGGGCACATGCCCAGGTTGTGGGCCCGATCCCCAGTGGGGGGCATGCAGGAGGCGGCCAATCGATGTTCTCGCTCATCAGTGTTTCTATCTCTCTCTCTCTCTCCCTTCTTCTCTCTCTGAAATCAATAAAGAAGCCCTGGTCGGTTTGGCTCAGCGGGTAGAGCATCGGCCCACGGACCAATGAGTTGTGGGTTCAATTCCAGTTAAGGGCACGTACCTCAGTTGCGGTTCGTCCCAGCCTGGTCAGGTTGTGTGGGAGGCAACCAGTTGATGTGACTCTATCACATTGATGTTTCTCCATCTCTCTCTCTCCCTTCCTCCCAGTCTATCTGATAGTAGGTAGAAAAATATCCTTGGGTGAGGATTTAAAAAATAAAGAGAAATAAAATCAATAAAGAAAATTTAAAAAATAATAATAAAACAAGAAGATCTGAGTGTAACTTTGAGCATAAATCTGAGATTATGATGCTGACTGAAGTCCCGCAATTATTTCAAATTCGGACACTGATCTTTAATAAGGCACAGGGAGGATACTGTCATCAAAACCACCTACAAAGACCAAGACGTGTTATCATTTTCATCTTAAACCTAACATGGCCCATTCTGGGCACCCTTTCCACCTTTGTTCTCTTCTATTAATTTGGAATAAACCCCTAATACTTGAAGTTGGAAAGATTTTGTAATAATTTCCCCCATTCTATTTCCGTTTTTATTATAGTGATCTCATGTCCAAACACTTCTTATTTGATGATCCGCTGGCTTGATAAGTGACCCACAAACAAGTCCCAGGCAGCTATGAAATGTACGCTCTGGTCTCCCCCAGCTGTTTCAACATCCTGAAAAGGAAAAGGGAAAGAAAGCAGAAGCAAAGATACGGCTCGCTGACGTCAAGGGTGTGTGCTGGGGACAGCGGGATGACGACGAAGTGCTGGCAGCCCCCTTCCTGGGTGCCACGCGCCTGGTTTGCAAAAGGAGGCATCGGTGCTACACACCTTGTTATGATACGGGCCTAAGACGATCCAGCCACAGAAGGTGTAGCCCAGGTAGATCATCCCCGCACAGGCGCAGAAGCGAAGGACCTTGGGCAGCGAGGCTTGCATGGTTAAGATGAGCACCTGGAGAAAACACCGGCAGCGTGGGGGAGAGTTAACGGAGCTCACTAGAACCCGAAGAAGACATGAATCTCAATCCCGGGGGCGCTCCCCAGTGCCACCTCCTTACGTTGTATTTTTGAAAGTAACCCAGGTATCTGATGACTCCAACCCAGACAAGAAGCGTGGACGTTCCGAGCAGAATGCTGCACAGATCGTAGTTCGTGATGTTCTAGGGACAGAAAAGCAAGCGTGAGTAGCACGCCCCCCTCCGCTCCGCCTCCTGATCCCACTGCAAGTTGACGGGAAGGAAGGTCCGCTGCCGCTCTGCAGGTGGCCCAGGGGTGCACACGGAAGGAGGGGACAACAGAGAGCACAGTCCCAGACGTTTCCTCCTTTCCCTGTAGGATTTCCATCGGTTGCGCTGACTTTCTGTTCGAATGCTATCCTGAACGGGAAAATGTACTTACCTGGGCGTGGAAGAATACGAACTAATGGTGTTTGTTAAATATGAGGCGACGCCGGTCCGCTGCTTTCGAAAGGAGGCTCAAACGTGATTTACTAACACGGGCCCTGCTCTCCAGGGTGTCTAGGTCTGACAGAGGAGACAGATGCGCAACCACGATTTTAGTATCACACGCTAAGTGCGGTAGGAGACACAACACCCAGCTTGTCACAGAGCTGCCCGTGGGTGCGACCCCAGAGCGGAGCTGGGCCTGGAGGACGGCGGGGATGGGGCGGGGGTGGGGAGCATTGCAGGTAAACAGACACAAGGCTGAACCAAGGCCCAAAGCTAAGAGCCAGAGCTGTTCCAGAGGGTCAGCACGATGGTCAGAGAGATCTAGGCAGGAGAGGGAGGCAGAGCTAGATGAGGAGGACCCTGGGGGCCACTTCACCCCAAGGGGTTCGCAGGAGAAAGGATGGTAACAGCAACGTAGACACTTCCAGACACTTTTCTCTGACAGCTGGGTGGATGGATCTGAGGGATGTAGGCTGAAGGCAGACAAGCAATGAGGAGACAGCCATACAGTCCAGGCCAGAGAGGAAGTCGGCCGGAAGGAAGCCAGAGGGCGTCAGCATGGACAAGGGAGGTCCGTTAGTGTCGGAGGGACAGTTAGTAAGAATTCCCAACCGACAGCATAGCCTGGAGGGGAGCAGCGGTGAAGTAATTGAGACTTGGCCATAAGGTCAAATCAATGAAGTTATACGCAGAGTCAGGCACCCAGCCGACACTCAGATGTTCCTGCATCGCCCCCTCTGCCGGGCCCCTCTGGTCAGGCGGGGGCACCACCGCCTCCTGATGGGGCTGGTTCTCAGTCAGCTGCTCCTCCTGCGACTTAAAAGAATAAATGAACCCCCCCCCCCCCAAACAACCGATCTTCTCAAACTTCAGTTCCTATTCTCAAGACACTGCCAAGCTTCCTGCGGGTATTTGCAGGCCTGTCATCTCCCACAGAACACTGGCTCCCTTCTTCTCTCTTCAGGAGGAACTGGGTCAGAGGAGGCTTCCAACACATGGGTGTGAGAAAAGAGGGTACATGAGAACCAAACTGGTCTCCACAAGGCTTCTGTACCCCAAAGGATGTGCGGGCATCCAGGATAGAAAGGAGCACAGACTGAAAGTGGGTGGCCCCTCACCTTTACTTGAATTTCCATCTTTAGTATGGATCCAATTATGGTCATTAGGTCGCTGATAATCACCAGGACATACCATCCATTGATGAACTCCCATTGGTCAGCATTACACACGTGTCGCTGGTACTTCTCCAGGAAAAATTTTAGGAATCTCTGCAGCGAACATTTTAAAAAGCATTTCTTACAAACCCCACTGCCCTCTGGAAGAAGACAAGCGAAGAACCGTGTTCTCGCCTACAACATGATGCGGCATTTCCTTTCCCAACCCGGTAGATGCGCTTCAAGCCCGGAGACCGCGGCCCACAGTTTCTCCCTGATCTACCCGGCTAGACATAAGCATCCAACTGCCTACCAAGTGAACTCAAACATTATATGCTTGTGCTCTAACTCCAACAGACTCTTGTAAGGGCTAACAGTACATCCTAAATATTTTACATGCTATCAACTCATTCAACCGGACAGCACCCTACAAACGAGGCACTATTAGCCCCATCTTCCAGAGGAGGGAATGGAGGCGTGGAGAGGCGGAACCCAGACCTTCCAGCTTCAGGCTGTGTACTCCCAATGCCCACCCCCCTGCTGGGGCAGAACCGGGACCCTGACCTGGGATCAGAGTATCAGGGGACTTGAGGGCAGGAGGGGCAGAACGAGAAGTGGATATTTACAAATAAGTTGACAAAGGTCAAGACTAAGAATAATGAAATGTAGACTGTGTTCTTGCTCCACTGGTGGTATTCTAATGACTTCACGCACCTGACCCCAGAGCACTCGCACCCACGCTGCAGACCAGAGCAAGATTTGTGGGGAGCTGGGACATATGTTCACAAGGGCCCTGAGTGTAAAAAGGTAAAATGAAACTCAGGGGAGAACTTTAAAACTATTTTAAAAATAGAATAAAGTATTGTACACTTCATTATCACCCATTTATCATGCCCCCCTGTCAAAATGAACTCTGATTTGAAGACAAAAGATGAAACCCACATGTGCTAATATTCTGTTCCTAAGATTACTCCTGAATTCAAAAGGGGTCTCATTTATTCTGGAAACATTCAAAAGCTTGCGAGTTCCCCGTTATGCACCTGTGCTCATTAGCTCAGTTCTAAGCAGGATAATTATCTGATCCCATCCGACACAGTGGGAGCTTTCACTCACCCCCACACCTCAGGCTGGTTAATGCCTTTTAGGGGCAATCGCTCAAAGGAGTCTAATTTACTCCCGGACTCTGGAAAGGGCAGGATGACCCAACATCAGGGTCCACTGTTGGGACAGACTGAGGGCAGAGGCCAAGAGGGAGGGACGGAAGTCGAGCACACACTCACCTTTCGCAAACGCAGGGCGAGAACAATGGACCTCGTGCACAGAATCAGGGATGCCAAGCAAATCACGATGACGAAGGCGTCAAACGCCAGCACGTACTGAGTATTTTTCTGAACTGAGGAACCAAAACAGAATCCAAACGTTAAACACACCTCACTGGGGAACAATTTCTGAACAAGATGGCAGTCAAAACAGAAGTTCAAGTGATACATTCTTAAGCATCAGAGACAAATCACGAGGCATTCACTCAAAGTCTGCAAATGACATCCCCTGATGTTAAGAGTTATACCTTTAAAAACATATAAACTCTTAAGAGGTGTACTAACATGCATTTATAAATATTTATATAGAATAGAATCTGACAGAAGGTGGTCCATTTGGACTCCACTCAAAAGAGGCAAACCTGCTGACATACTCTCAGGTCTTTCACATCAAAGCACAAACATCGACTTCTGGTCAAGATGGCAGGTAGGTAAACATGGTATCGCGTCCTCCCACAACCACATCAAAGTTACAACTAAACTACAGAACAACCATCATTCAAAACCGCCTAAAATCGAGCTGACTGGAAGTCCTACAACTACGGAGTTAAAGAAGGAGCCACATGAAGACTGGCAGAAGAGGCGGAGGTGGACGGGCTGGTCCCATGCCCACCTGTGGCGAATAAAAATCAGGAGGACACCTCAGCTGGGAAGGTCCTCCCTGAGGACTGAGGGGTCCCTGTCCCACACCAGGCGCCCCGCTCAGGGTTCCAGTGCCAGGAAGAGAAGTCCCCATAACTTCTGGCTGGAAAAACCAGCGGAAACTGAGGCTCAGGGAAGCTGATGCGGCTGGAGCCCCAGGCAGCTCCCTAAAGGGCCCGCACACGGACTTATCGGACTCTCTCCCTCTAAGCTTGGAGGGGAGGCAGCTCGAGGGGCACCAGAGACATACAGGGAAGAACTGAGCTGTTTGGCACCGGAGCGAGAGCTGGAGAGGGGACTTTCTCTGGGACAAACGTTCTGTAAGAGGCCTTTGTTCCTTTGGTGAGCCCTTCCCGGGGGCGGCAGACAGAAGCCATATCTGGGACTCCAGCAACCTGGCTCACACTGGTAGCCCCGCCCTGCTGACTCCCTGAGGCCCCGCCCCGCCCCATCCAACTTTCAGGCCCACCCAAGCTGTTGCCACTTGCTTAACCATAGGATTGGCCTGTCTTGGATCCTGCTTCAGGTTTTCCTAAATTCTTTCAAACAAGCAGCATCTGGTCTCAGCTAGCCCCATACCACTCGTTGAGTAATACATAGAAACAAACACAGGGAGGAAGCCAAAATGAAGAGACAAAGAAACAGGTTCCAAATGAAAGAACAGAACAAAACCCCAGCAAAAGAACTAAGTGAAATGGAGATAAGCAACCTAACAGGTGCTGAGTTCAAAATACTGCTTATAAGGATGCTCAATGAACTTAGTGAGAACCTCAGTGAACTTAGTGAGGGCCTCAAGAGCATAAAAAAGGACCAGTCAGAAATGAAAGAGACACTAACTGAAATAATGAATAATTTACACAAATTCAATAGTAGAGTAGATAAAGCCAAGAAGCAAACCATCGATTTTGAGTCTAAGGAAGCAATAAACACCCAAACAGAACAGCAAAAAGAAAAAAGAATACAAAAAAATGAGGTTAGTGTAAGGAGCCTCTGGGATAACTTCAAATGTGCCAACATTTGCATCTTGGGGGTGCCCGAAGGAGAAGAGAATAGGTTTCAAATGGAAAACCTATTTGAAGCAATAATGGCAAAAACTTCCCTAACTTGGTAAAAGAAACAGACATACAAGTCCAGGAAGCACAGAGACTCCCAAACAAGATGAACCCCAAGAAGCCCACACCAAGACACATCATCGTCAAAATGCAAAAGGTTCAAGACAAAGAGAGAATCTTAAAAGCAGCAAGAGAAAAGCAGATAATTACCTACGAGGGAGTTCCCATAAGACTGTCAACTGATTTCTCAAAAGAAACTTTGCAGGCCAGAGGGAGTGGCAAGAAATATTCAGAGTGATGAAAAGCAAGAACCTACAACCAAGATTACTCTATCCTGCAAAGCTGTCAGTTAGAATCAGTGGCCATATAAAGACTTTCCCAAACAAGAAAAAGTTAAAGGAGTTCATCACCACCAAACCGTTATTATATGAAATGTTGAAGGGTCTTTTTGAAAAAAAAGATAAAATATATGAAAAAACAAAATGGCAATGAATAGATATCTATCGACAATGGAGTCTACAAAGAAAATGAACAGGCGGAACAGAAACATTCTCATAGATACAGAGAACATTTTGTTGGTTGCCAGATGGGTGGGGGTTGGGGGAATGGGTGAAAAAGGTGAAGAGATTAAGAAGTACAATGGGTTGCTAGACTGACAAACCTCAAAGGGAAGGGTGTTGGGGGGTGGGAAGAAATAAACCAAAGAACTTATATGTAACCAATGGACACAGACAACAGTGTGGGGAAAGGCAGGAGGGGGGCGGGAGTGGGGAGAGGGTCAATGGGGGGAAAATGAGGATCATCTGTAATATATTCAACAATAAAGATCAAAAAAAAAAAAAAAAAAGCACAAGCATTAAGTTCTCCATGCATGAGGAAACAAACAATTCAAAATACCTCCCACTCAGAATCCCCATTCCTGCTGCTGAGCCTCACTGTGCACTTTCCCAGCAGATAAACTCTTTCTGCACATGTAGGGAATGACCTCTTGGAAGGATAGTAAGCAGGACAGTAGTAATCAGATTTATGTCTTGGAATACAGTAGCATGGGCAATGTACAGGAGGAAGGTGATCTTGTAACCGTAGCTTCTCTCAGACTTCATGGAATTGTCCCCAATTCCAATGATGGCTCTCCCCTGCCTGGCCCCCTACCCACCCCTGCAGTCTCAATTACCTGCCAATCCCTTCTCTCCCCCCATCTTCTCTACCTTGAGGCCACACTGGTCTTCCATGTCCCAGCTCCTACCAAGTTCTCTCTCTCTCTCTCTGGCCTCTGGAGCTTTGCAGATGCTGATCCCTCTGCCTGGAACAGCACCCTCTCCATCACTCACGTTTAGATTATTCTTTTCAAGCCTTAGGATTCAGAATGAGTATCTTCCTTTCAGAACAAAATTCCCTAAATTCCCACCCTCATTAGCCCCTTCCCTGCTCTTTCGTAGCACTTTCTATAAGCGTGCACACCTATAGCTCCTTTGAACTCTCCTTTGCTTGATGACCGCCGAACCTGAAATTACGCCTTCAAAGACGGCAAGGAACAGAGACAGTGCAGAATCGGGAAGGACATGGCCTCTGGGCCTGAAAACCAGGGTCTGAATCTCAGCTCTGCACTCAGAAGCTGAGCATCCTTGAGAAGGGTGCCTCAGTTTCCTCATCCAAAAAATGGGTAGAATAAAAAAAACTAATCATAGGGCTATGGTGAGGATTAAATAAGTTTATATATGAAAGCACATGAAACGGCCCCAAGTAAATAACATCGGCGAACGCTCACAGAGGCTGCTATGGAATCACTCGATGCCCATCTTCCCCACCAAATGACTGGCTCTGAGAAAGGACCATACGTGTTTTGTCAACACTGCAGTGCCTTTGCTTAGCGTAGTGCTTCAGTGTACGTACAGACAAATGCAGAGACTCCAGCAGAACACGAGAAGAGCCCTGAATAATCTAAGTCAGAACTTGTGAAGGTTGGAGCTAAGTTAGAGGCAAAGAAGTTAAACCATGGCGGGAGATGAAGCAGAGAGAGGGGTCATGGTCTCCAGTGGGACCCGGGGAATGAGGAAGGACCAACCAGGCATGGCTCCTGGTTTTCTGTTTTCAATAAATTGAGCTCAGTCTGGATGTTCATGATAAGAGAGGATGACTCGGTGGCAGCTAAAACCGTGGGTGTGGACAGAGCCACTCAGAGAGACCACGGAGAGAAATGCAGATGGGGGGGGGGGGCAGTGAGGGCAACAATGTCTGAGAATTAGAAGAGGAAGTGAGCTCTGGAACGAGATGGACAAAGGCCAGAGGAGAAGGAAGCAGGACTGGGAACTGGCAACCTTCCGAGGCATCTGCATCCAGAGTGCTCCTCAGCGACTCCTCTGCTCCGGTTTGGTTCAGTGGTTAGAGCATCGGCCTGTGGTCCAGAGAGACCCGGGTTCGGTTCCCACTAAGGGCATGTACCTCGGTTGCAGTTTGTCCCTGGCCCTGATTGGGTTGTGTGGGTGGCAACCACTCGATGTGTCCCTTTCACATCGATATTTCTCTCTCTCTCTCTTCCTCTACCTCCCTCCCACTCTATCTAAACAAAAAACAAAAAAGCAAAAAAAATGTCCTTGGTTGAGGATAAAAAAAAAAAAAGACAGAAAGATCGGAGTGTCCACAGATTCACTAACAAGGGCGTGGGCATCAATGGCATGAGTGCCTGAGAGTAAAGCTGCCCACCCGGGGGATTAGGACCACAGCCAGCCAGTAAATGTAATTCACCGAGCGAATTATTCAGTCTCGCTAAGCCTCAGCTACACAACGGGAGAAGCAACTTTCTGCCTGGTGGGTCGTCAGGAGACCGGGTAAAACATCCATGCTGTGTGCTTGTGGGGACCATGCCTAGCACCCAGCAGTGACATTTCCCTTGAGCCATGGATGTACTTCAGAGGTTTAGGTGAGAAAGCCACTTAACTAAACTAGAATCCGAGCCCTTTTTTTGGACCCATAGAATGAGGCAGAGGGAATAGAGGCACTTCCTGGGAAAATGGAATTTAAAATCTTTTTAAATGCAAGGAGAGCCTCCAGTACCTTCCTTTCTAACATATAACTAGAACAAATCTCTAAGATTGCTTGTAGTGGGCCTGGCCGGTGTGGCTCAGTGGTTGAGCATCGACCCATGCACCAAGAGGTCGCTGGTTCGATTCCCAGTCAGGGCACATGCCCAGGTTGTGGGCCTGATCCCCAGTGGGGGGGCATGCAGGAGGCGGCCAATCGATGTTCTCACCGATGTTTCCATCTTTCTCTCCCTCTCCCTTCCTCTCTCTCTCAAATTAATAAAGAAAAAAAAATTTTTTTTAATCCTAGTATTAAAAAAAGAAGATTGCCTGTAGTGGGAAAACTGAGGCCCAGATTTAGAAAGATAAGTCATCCTTCCTAACAGAGAAACTGGTATTGTACAGTTTTTAATCTGATTCATTAGGAAGACTAGTTAGGTGTGCCACAAAAAGTATTTTATGAACATTTTAATTGCTTTCTTACTCTACTGAAACTGTTACCCCTGTGGGAACATTTCTCAAAACTGGGTTTGAAAAACATTAGTCCAGAGAGACGCCTCTGCCAACCTGGTCAGGGAAGTCCTTCACACCACCCTGTCCTTTCAGAGGCCCTGCCAAGCCCCCCACATACCACCACTGCCCGCGTGTGGCTCTAACCCAGGGCTCCCCCACTCATAAACATCCTTTCCCAGGGACACCCATTACATCGCCCATCAATGGGGGGTCCTGCCTACTAACACCTCTTCCAGCCCCTCATGTCCAAGTCACTACATTCATAAAATAAAGTTAAAGTGAAGGTTGGTGGCACACTGGGAATGGGTATTAGAAGTCAAAAGAAGCAACATTTGGTTTGTATGGGAAAATAGACATTCCCTCATATTCTGCCTTGAGCTGACACAGGTAATGAAGAGAGGGAGAGAGAAGCCTCAGGGTGAATATGCGGATGTGAATGAACTCAGGACTTTTTGGAAATAGCACAAGGACCCCACCAGATGTTACCCTTGCCTTTGTCCCACCTCCTGTCTCTTCGCTTCCCCAAAAGCCAGGGCAATCAATCCACCAGACTGTGGGGGAGAGGGGAGTTCCATTTCCTAAGCTTATTTCTAAATCAGTTTTTAGAGGTTTTCACAGCATCACATCATTTTATTTTAAATTCATATTTTCCTAGTGACAGAATCTGGTTTCTTAGGCTGCAGCGCTGGAAGCCTATAAAATAGTAGTGTTTCTCCTCACCACCACAGGAGGGCGCCAGACCTCTTTTCTTCTTTTTTAAATCACTTTATTTTTCAATTACAGTTGACATACAATATTATATTAGTTTCAGGTGTATACCCCCGAGATTAGACATTATATAACTTACTAAGCGATCATCCTGCTAAATCTCATACCCATAATATTCTAATAACTATGTTATTAGAACCACACATAGTTATTAGAATATTATTGGCTATATTTCCTGCACTATACTTTACTCCCCCATGACTATTCTGTTACTATCAATTTGTATTTCTTAATCCCTTCACCTTTTTCACCCAACTCCCCAATCCCCTCCCATTTGGCAACCATCAAAATGTTCTCTGTATTTATGAGTCTGTTTCTCTTCTGCTTGTTCATTTATTTTGCTTTTTAGATTCAATTGTTGATAATATATATTTATTTGCATTTTATTGTTCATATGTTTGTCTATGTTTTCTCTTCTTCAAGAAGACCCTTAACATTTCATGTAATACTGATTTGGTAGTGATAAAAATGGACATGGAAAGCATTTTTAAAAAGTCAGAAATGAAGGCTACACTGACTGAAATCAAGAATAATTTCCAGGGAATCAACAGTAGAGAAGATGAAGCCAAGAATCAAAACAGCAACCGGTAGTATAAGGAAGCAAAATATACCCAATCAGAACAGCAAAAAGAAAAAAAAATAAAAGAGGATAGTGTAAGGAGTCTCTGGAATAACTTCAAGTGTGCCAACATTCACATCATGGGGCTCTTGGAAGATGAAGAGAGAGAACAAGAAATTGAAAACCTATTTGAAAAAATGACAGAAAATCGGTGAAGGAAATAGACACACAAGTCCAGGAACTGCAGAGAGTCCCAAACAGGATGAACCCAAAGAGGCCAACACCAAAATCATAATTAAAATGCAAAAGATTAAAGTCAAAGAGAGAATCTTACAAACAGCAACAGAAAAGCAGTTAGTTACCTACAACGGAGCTCCCATAAGACTGTCAGCTGATTTTTCAAAGCAGGGACCTATAATCAAGATTACTCCACCCAGCAAAGCTATTTAGAAATCAAATAACTTATAAAGAGCTTCTCAGATAAGAAAAAGCTAAAGAAGTTCAGACCTCCTTTCTTCTGAGTACAGGCCAGGAAACCCCCCTGGTGTTGTAAGGAGCCCTGTGGGGAGGAAGGGAACCAGGTTCTGCCAATATGTCTGACTGACGAACTCATTTGGTCATAATGACTATTCCAAACCATATTTCATATGCAACAAAGGTTAGCTTTTATCACTTAAAATCACTGCAACCTATACTTGGACTTGGAAAATATGCGTCTGACCTATGCATTTCTGTGAAACAGAGAGTATCTGCTGAGGAATAGTAACCACATTTGAACAGAAACTAAAACTATATATTGTAATCAGAAGCTTAAGTCAGTTACTGGAATTTTGAAACCAAACCTTCAAAATCACCAGGGCATATAATTGAAGTAACAGGCCACAAGTTGAATCTAGTTTTAAACTAATCTAACCTACTTAGGAACCATGGGTATTTTACATTTCATTTTCTTAATTTTATAATTCTTAATCTGGTCAATAGCAAAATTAGTTAAACAAAACTTATGAATTAAAATAGACTGACCATCCATCATTAACATCATTCTGAACCCTCAGGGAGACCAGGCTCCATGTAGCCCAATTTAAACTATGGATCAAGAGGTGTTTTCTGAGTCATGACTGAGTAAATGACCCAGTGTTTGTACAGGCTGCTCTCTGGGCTCTGAAGGCCTTGATCTCTCTGCATTGTCAAAGGCTCAGATCAAAGCACACCTTCTCCAAAAACCATGGCTAGATTTTATTTCTCACTCTGCCCCAGTTGAAATCAACCTATACTTTCTTCACCCTCATGCCTTTTGTTCCTCCACCACTTATTGCTGTCCATGACACGTTAGAGATGTTAAAAGCATGTCCGTCTCCCTCACTAAGGCGTTTTCTTTCTTTTCCAGTGCCCAGCAATTACTAGGTACCAACTCTTGTTCTCAGTGCTTTGCTTAAATTCTAACTCATTGAATACGCAACACGCTGGAAGGTAAGCATTATTATTGCTCTCATTTTGAAGAGAAAGATACTGAGACACAGAGAGGTTAAATAATTTGTCCAAGATCACAGGCATAGGACACAGAACCCAAACCCAAATCCAGGCAGTCTGGCTGCCAAGGCTGTACCCCTAACCACTGGGCATGCTGCCTCTCCTAAGAGGTGTATAATCAATATTTGCGGAATTGAACAAAAATGCAAAGCTTTGGGCTGTGCTTTACAGAATCTAATGCTCAGGATGTGGTTTTCCGGAGCCCTGTCTTCCTATCACCATCCAAGTCAACCATGTTGACACTTGAATCCCCCCCAAAAATGTGAAAAGTCACCCAATGGGCAAGCATGTAACATACGTACCAGATCCAGATATGTTTAATCCTTTACATTCTTCGATGTTAGCATCACTGTCAAAATAGATTTTGATTTTGCCACTGTGAGCTTTGTTGTCGAAGGTGATCTGGAAACAGAAAAACAACTTTTAGATGGAGAGCAGGAAGTACAACTTAAAATTTTAATGGCATCCGAACAGCAGGCTGATCCAAAAACTGCACTGATGAAGATGTCCTCGTCACATGATCCCTTTACAACTTACATTAATGAAAAAAGATGGTCCAAAGGCTGAATTATGAAGTTGTTCTAAATCCACAAGCAGGGTCAGAGAAATCCCAAAGCAAAATCTCAGCTTGTCCCAGGAACAAACACGAGATTGACCAGTTTTTGATGAGAACACAGAGACCTCGCTGATTATACTGAATGGAATTTAAAAGCATTTGCTTCGATTTATTCCTTTGGGCGTGAAATTCTAGGTTTTTACTAGGTTGGAGATTATTTTTCTGCTTATCTCCTAGATATGTAAGAATGTGGCTTGTGTTCAGAGATACCCAATGCTTGTGGATTTACTCATAGATCAGCTACACTGTCAGCTCTCAAGTTCTTGGACCATGAATTTTCTTAATTTCGCCACATAATGTGTAGGTCACTCCACAGCAGCTAATCGCATTCTTCCTCACCACAAGTCACAGTTAATTACTCATTTCTTTGTTCCCTTGTTTTTCTATGTCTTCCACTAAGCTGTACGCTTCCGCTGCACCTGTAAGCGTGGCGGTGTCTGGTACACAGCAGGGACTCATTAGCATTTACTGATTGTTGGAGAAAGCCCTCTTCTGAGTTGCTAGAAGACAAGTGCATACACCTTTCAGCTCAACATCCAGTTTTGCTCTTCCATAAATATGAAGGAGGGAAGAAAGAAGGAGGGAGGGAGGAGAAGAGAGAGGAAGGAAGGAAGGAAGGAAGGAAGGAAGGAAGGAAGGAAGGAAGGAAGGAAGGAAGGAAGGAAATTCCATGGAAGTGAGAAGACTGACTACTCTCCCCACAAAACTGAACAGTCTCTTCTACTGCACACGTCTCCTCCCGAAATAAAAGAAGCCACAACTGATCGCCTGCAGAATGGCCTTCATATCAAGGGGGCAGTGTCTGCACAGAGGGTTTTTTGTGTTTTTTTTTTATCCTCACCCGAGGACATTTTTCTATATTCTTGTTCAGATAGAGTGGAAGAGAGAGAGAGAGAAACATCGACGTGAAAGGGACACATCGAGTGGTCGCCACCCTCACAACCAACCAGGGCTGGGGACAAACTGCAACCGAGGTACGTGTCCTTAGCGGGAACCAAACCCGGGTCTCTCTGGACCACAGGCCGACGCTCTAACTGCTGAGCCAAGCCGGCCAGGGCTGCACAGAGGTTTGAAAGCATTTGCTATATTTGCAAAGACTTTCCTTTGAAAGTGGGAAAAAAATTATAGACACTTAAAACACTCATCATCAACTTTTAACAAATGTATTAGAAGAGTAAGGGGTCAAAGCCAATTTTGAAAGCTTCTCTTCAACGCAGAAATTTTGTTTTTAAGAAGTTGGAAAGGGCTTTTCTTTATTTTCAGAAGTAATGGTCTCTGGATCAACACTGCTATAGTGTCATTTAACGGTTCTGAACACAAGTACATCTAACACATTTAGAGGCTGGTGTGTTTTACACTGTACGTCTACAGAAGGAGGAGAGAAACATAACAGAAAGTCGCTTGGTAAATAGACACTTGCCGTATTCTGAAAGACGTAACAGTCTGGTAGCTCTCGGGAAAGAATCGTCTGTAGGTCAATGCCTTTGAGGCGAAAGGAGATTTTGACTTGTAAGAGCCTGAATAAAAAATGGTATATGGTATAAATTATCAGTCTTGCTCTCCTTTCCTCATCCCTGTCTCCTGGGAAAAGAGTCTTAAAAACGTATTTACCTATAAAACTCCAGTGTGAAGAAGGACGAGTTCTTCCAGTCCTCAGAGTTCCTGGAGAGGGCCCGGAGGTCTAAGTAAATACAGTCTAGACCAGTGAAGAACAACAATTGTTTCAGGCAGAAATCAGACGCTGAAACCCGTGTGAGGAGAAGCAGGACACTTCCAAAGTACCTCCCCACAAAACACTCATGAATGATGCAGGAAGACCTGTGACTTTACAGCGGAGAAGCGGGCAGATGGCAGCATCCTGCCCAAGTGACCAAAGTTAACATCACCAGTCATGAGGTAAAGAGACATCCCCTACCTCCTGAAATAATGGACTGCTCGTGTGGTATGCCCACCAAATGCATAACCCCAATCTGGTCATCAAGAAATAGAAAAACCCAAAGTGAAGGGTATTTTACTCTTTAAAAATGTCAAGGTCATTAAAAAAAAAAAAAAGTAACAACAAACCAAGAAACTATTCTGCTCCAGGTTGAAGAGGCATGACACCTAAACTCAATATGTGGTCCTGAACCAAGGAGGCTGAGGTGGGAGGGGACTTTTGCTCTGGAGAACATGAGTACAGTGGACGAGACGGGAAAGGGGTTTGCAGATCACAGTGCTGCCCCAATGCTTCGTTGTGCATTGGAGTTCTGTGCAGTGAGAACGTGGGAGGTCGCGCTTGGGAAACACACTGGAGTATTTGCAGGTGAAGACATCAGGTCAGCCTCTTATCCTCATGCACTTCAGGAGCAATATTTAAGCATGGGAAGAATGATAAAGCAAATGTGGTAAAACGTTTGCATCTGGGAAATCTAGGTGAAAGGTATGCAAGGACATCTTTGTGCTATTTTGCAACCTTTCCGTGTCATCTGACATTTTTTTTCAAAATCAAAAATAAAGAGAAAGGAAAGGAACTTAGGTTGTATTCGAATAAAAACAAATGATGAGCTGTATAACTATAAAAGTGAGTCCAAGTGCCTCACATAAAAATTCATCTCATCACTGTGGGGCCCAACGCCTTGGCAGGGACCCGCGGAGGTCCCGGGCTGGTCACTGCCTTTCAAGGTCACAGCGCCCTCCCAGACAGGACGGGTGTAATGTTGCCGAGCTGACTCACTCTTACTCGGGCTGCGGCTGCCTTGAAAATGCAAACTCCCGGAGCTGGTTCTCCGTAGGTGTTCCAGAACCTTGGTAGACTCCATGGCTAATTCTTTAAGAGTCTTCTCCCACAATTGTAATTCTCTATTTGCTTATCTCTCCCCTCAACTAGAGTGTAAGATCTTTGTGAACAAGAGCATGCTATGTTGTGTGGTTAAACCATTGCTTCGCACATGGCTGACACCCAAAATATGTCCCAATATAGGACATACTTACATTTTGTGAAAATTAGTTTTCCTGGGCGAAAAACAAGGACATGAGCTGAACAGACAACTCAACAGGCACAATATTTAAGAAAGGCTGCTGTCGGAGGGGGTGCCTCCCTGTTTTTGGCAAATAGACTATTAGTGTCAAGAAACAATTTGTCGTTACCTTTCTTGACTGGATCTTGATTAAAATGGAGAGAGCAGTTAATCAAAAGAAACTTGTTCTCCACAGGAAAAGACGGGTGATGACGAAAATAGCACAATATATCAGGGACTACACTGTGCCCGGTACTGTGCTAGGGGCTTTATATGTTCTCTTAATCCTCATCCTGTTTAATCCCCAAAGCAACCTTGTGAGATAGGTACTATTGTTGGAATTTTACAGATGGACAAACCAAAGCACAGAGAGGTCAAGGGACCTCCTCAAGGTCACACAGCTAGCTGACGGCAGACCAGAATTTAAATCCACATGTGTTCAGTTCCAGAGCCTGAGCTCTTTACTCTACACTGATGAGGCTGACCTCTGAGCACCTATTTCAGAAGAGACCCAGGTTCCCTACCCAACTCACTCATTTGCTCAGTAAGTATTTGTTGAAAGCTTTTATGGGCCAGCCTCTGGACTCGACACTGAAGGTAAAGCAATGAACAAGACAGAATGCGGAGCTCACATTCTAGTGGGGACGATAAACCAAGAGTGAAAAGACACCCATGGTGATTTCTGTGTGGGATGAACTGTGAAGACGGCAAAGGGATGGAGAATGCCCGCGGGGCGTGGCCCTACCTCGGGAGACTGGCTAGAGAAGGGCTCTGAGGTGCTGAGGGTGTTGCATGGACACCTGAGGGAGGAAAGAGAACCCGCGGGGTGTGGATCCAGGGGCAGTGCTCTGGGTAGAACAAAAGCAAGCGTGTCTCCATGGCAAAAGAGCTTGGCTTGTTCAACAAAACAATGATGTTAGGACAGGGAAATGGGAACAGGTATGGGGGCCTTTGGAGAGGCGGGCGGGTAGCCAGCTCCTGTAGGGACTTGTGAGTTTTATTCCTAATGGAATGGGAAGCCACTCATGTTTCTTAAACCGGGAGGGACATGACCTGATTCACGTAATATCTTTCTGATTGTGATGGGGCAGGTCAGGGAGCAGAAGAGTCAAAACTAGAAACGGGGAGAACAGTCTGAACGAGAGATGACGGTGCGTGGACTACGGCAGGGACAACGGAAATGGAGTAATCAACAAGTTCGAGGTTGGGGCTTGAGCCTCTGTGACGTTATAGCATGATATGAAGATACCAGTGTCGTTTTCTGAGATGGGGAAGACTAACACACGGGCTGGGCCAGGGGTAGGGAATGGGGGAGGTTCGGAATGTTGTTTTGGACACAGCATGTTTGAAATCCCTGGTAGGGCCACAGTGGGGCTGTCAAGTAGCCAATGGGATACACGAATCTGGAGCTCAGGGGGACAGTTCAGCTCAGAAATGTAAATTTAGGTGAGAGAGAAGGGGCATGACTTCTCAGAACCTGAACGGTGCTGGGGTGAGGCCTCTGACTGTGACCTTACCTCTGGGGTGTGTGTGTGTGTGTGTGTGTGTGTGTGAATGTATGTAACACGAGGGTGAATGAAAGTGGAGGGAAGCTGTGCCCAGAGCTTTGAGGATGGGCGTGTTCTGCTGTGGAGAGCTCCTCCAGGAAGCATCAGCTGCCGGGCCTCAGGGCACAGCTATGGAAGAGCCTGGTGATGGAAGAGAGCGTCCAAATGAGAAAGAAGGGAGAGGCAAGCCCCTTAACAGCAGGTGTAAGGGACGCTGAGGGACAGAGGTCGCTAGGCTGGGCACAGGAGGCACTCCAGCGCGGACAGTGGTGTCTTCAGTCAAGGAGGGATCTGTTCAAAGCCAAAGGTCCTCAGCCGGAGAGCTCTGACCAGTGCCTCCGAAGTTCAGTGTGCGTGTGACTCACTCAGGGAATCTCCTTAGGATGCAGATCTGGACTCAGCAGCTCTCGGGTGGGGCCTGAGATTTGGCATTTTTTTTACAAGCAACCAGGTGGTGTCCCCGTTGCTGGGCTTGGAGTAGCAAAGACCTGTCATCACCACATCATTACGACGACCTTGAATTAGTCACCCAGCTTGACTGAGTTCCAGTTTCCTCAACTGCGAAATGAAGGCCAACTGAAGGTATTTAAGGTCCTTCCACCTCTCACATTCTTATTCGAAGGTGACATAAAAAAAGAAAATCAAAACATTTAATTTAAACTAAATTAAAGCCCCTATATTCTGAAAGAAGTAACGTGTTCAAAATCTATGTGCCAGATACTGTGCTAGGCCCTTTTCTCCTGCATTTCCTTCATTCTACGATGTTTGTCTTTTCACTTTTAAAAACCTCTAGAACAGATGAGTCTTTTAAAAAATGGATGGCATCTCAGAGTTAGAGAATTATGACAGCATTTATTAGGTAATTTCGTACTCCATGTTAAATTTGCCGTGTAAAAGCCTATTTGGTTAGTCGAGTGTTGTTGTGGTTTCAGGAGCACACTTTACCAAACACACATTCAGATCCAAAGTCTGGCTGACCTCACGCTAGAGTCATTGCTCAGGAGACCACCAAGAACCCGGTGGCAGCAAAACCTAAGACTGAGACGTTTTCAGAGGATGGCAAAAGACCTACGTAAAATCATCAAGCCTCAGACAGAACAAACTGGCGTTAGAGTAGCAGACTCATCACTCAAATGAACCTCATGTACAGAACCGATACTCTGGCAAATGAAATAGCAAATGGAGGGTAGATTACATGTGTTCTCTGAAAAGCTGGGCAGGTGATGAAATGGTCGTAATTCCTCACATTCCTCACATAAGAAATTTAAGATCCACGTTACAGAAAATGAAACATTACATTAGAATGATAGCTATCGAAATGTAAAAAAAATTTTAAAACAGGATTTATAACTTCCCCAAGTAAGGCTGAACTGTGAAGCCGCAGGTCTAGTGGCGGGAATGGAGGGATGGGCCCACAGCACAGATGAAAGGAAATCTTAACCCAAACTGCACCAGCGTGTAACTAAATATTACCCTACAGAGGCAAGAGGCGTGCCGGAGATCTGTGTTTAGCCCACTGACAGACGGTTCTCTTAATAGGAAAGAAATGAAAATTCAAGAACAGGTCATCTAAAGAGCGTCCAGGTGACCTACTTAGACTACAAGGCCACACCACTGAAATCAAACTCAAATCCTATTTATAGCACCTGCAGGCTTCCTCCACTGTGTCCAAGAAAAGAAAGGCTTAGAATCCTGTATCTAGTCTTTAAAACTATTCTTTATACAGTTTTTTCTTTTTTTTTTTTTTTAATTTATCTATATTGTTGAAAGCATTATAGATGCCTCCCCCCCTTTCCCCATTGTCTTTATACCTTTTGAATAGATACATCAAAACAATTTTCTTTGACAAGTTATATTCAATAAGCTAAAGAATGCAATTAACTTACTTAAATAGTCTCTCTTTTTTTTTTTATCCTCACCCGAGGACATTTTTACATTATTTGATCAGCTAGAGCGGGAGGGAGAGAGAGAGAGAGAAACATCGACGTGAAAGGGACACATCGAGTGGCTGCCACCCACACGACCCAACCAGGGCCGGGGACAAACTGTAACCGAGCTACATGCCCCCAGCGGGAACTGAACCCGGGTCTCTCTGGACCGCAGGCCGATGCTCTAACTGCTGGGCCAAACTGGCCAGGGCTTATGTAGTCTCTCTTAAAGTCAAATGAATAATCAACTTCTCGCCACTTGGGTAAAAGTATTGCCTATTCTGACAGAAAGGAAATGAACGAGAGCCGCTGCGCAGTGGTCAGGGGGGACTCTGCTTCCCCGCACGCCTGCCCTACCTGGCCACCGACACTGACTTTGGCCAGATTTCTTTCACCAGTTTTTCAAGAAAAATCAATAGAGGAAAACAATTGTAGGAATCACTGGAAAAGAGTTGCATGATGCCTGCAACCGAGTCACACATTTCTAGGAGAACCAGTGGCCTGTGGCTTACGTGAAGCAGAGGGTCACCGCACAAGCTTCCGGTGCTCCTCCCACAGTGACAGGAACACCTCCCACAGGGAGCAGCAGAGCCGACAGCCTCAGGAAAAAGATTCCGCACCAGCCCATTAGCCCCTGACTACCCAGTAGATCTCAGGAGAGCAAAAGCCTGCGGGGCAATCAGACAAGCCACCTTTCAAGGTCGCAGGCCACTGAACCAGCCACTGACACGGAGATGATCTCTGAAAGCAACCTGGGGCCCCGATGGTGCTGGCTTAGGAGATGCTTCTTGCAGAGTCAGGAGCACAGGACACACTGATTCATGCAGAGTCTAAACAGGCAGCCCGTGCAAATGGAATCAGAACCTCTGTGCCTTATGGGGATATTCTATGGTACGGCCAAGACACCTTAAAATCAGATCATAGGCAACAGAGCCAAGTGAATGGTGTGGTGCCCTCCTTTTAATAAAACCACTCCATATTTAAACTGCTCCTGAACCGTTATCTAGTTGAGGAGCTGTGACTGATTAATCTTTGTAACCCCAGTGCAGTCATGCACAGATCTACGGGGTTACATTCTGAGAAATGTGATGTTACATGATTTCATCGCTGTGTGAACGTCACAGAGTGCACTTACACCAGCCTACATGGTATAGCCCACCACACACCCAGGCTAATTGGTGTAGCCCATTGTTCTGTAGGAGAGGAAAAATAAGCTTCCCTCTACCCTTCTGGGTTCTTGGTTGAGTCATCCCTGTAATAAAAGACAGATTAACAAGAGAAAAACAAACAGAAGTTTAATAACATGTATACCTGCTCTCTACAGAAACCCAGGAAAACTGAAGCCACTTCCTTAAATACCATCTTCAGCTGAAGACCAAAGAAGATGTTGGGAGTGGGGAGAGTCACTTATGGGAGGTTACCAGGGAAAGCACAGTAAGCAAAGGTAAAGTTGTTAAACAGATTTAAATCTTTGTCTTCTGCATCGATAAGAGTCTCTAGAGACAAGCCCTGGTCAGTTTGGCTCAGCGGTTAGGATAGAGCATCAGTCCGCAGACCAAAGAGTCACAGGTTTAGATTCCAGTCAAGGGCATGTACCTCGGTTGCAGTTCATCCCTGCCCTGGTCGGGATCCTGCAGGAGGCAACCAGTGGATGTGTCTCTCTTATATATCAATGTTTCGCTCTCTCTCTCCCTCCCTCCCACTCTATCTGAAGATAAATAGAAAAAATGTCCTCCGGTGAGGATTAAAAAAAAAGAGTCTCTAGAGACAAGTTTATCCCCCTCTTGCTGGCACAGCTTGGGGGGGGGGGCACCCTTACAAATGCATGTGTCCCTTACAAATGCAAATGTCTTTTACAAGGGGTAAGTTCTACTTGGTTTCTAGAGCTTCTTTTTCCATGTTTGCTATTTCTTAAATTAACCAGCCTGAAAATCCTTTTGCCAAACAGACATATTTTGGGGTGACAAATTCTGTTCTCCTACAGCTCCTAGTCTGTATCATGTTACTGCACTGAATACTGCAGGCAATTGTAGCATAATGGTTAGTACTTGGGTCATGCATTGCACTATGATGTCACTAGGCAATAGGAATTTCCACCTTCATTATAATCTTATGGGACCACCATGGTGTACGCAGTCTGTCATTGTTGGAATAGTTCTGCAGCACATAACTACTACATAAACAGTGAGTGCCTGAGGCAGGGTAGGTGTGCGCCAGAGGTTTGCTGAATCAATGACAAAACCCCCAGAGCCTTATGTGAAATATTTTGCAATTACATAAAGCATTCTTTTACATTCTTAACAGAATGGCACAAAACAATTCTGCTTGTTTAGATATTAACTTTTGGCCAAACAACAGCCTAAAGAAGGAAATGAGCTGCTAATCACAATTTGCCTTTGAAGATCATTAATATATTTTGCAAGTAATAAAAACAAGAGTACAAAGCATTTTAACACACATTATTTCATTTAATAAATACAGACTCATTTTTTTTTTTTTTTTTCAAAAAGCCTCATTGTCCCCCAAGGCGGAGAGAAAAATCTAAACAAACAGGAAACACCTGGGCATTTACCCCAAAGCCAACCTTGAGTTGCACCTAAGAGATCCACAAATTTCTCCGGCCTATTACCATAGACTGCAGTTTCCTGAGCCAAAGCCCCTTTCAGGCAAATGTTACAGCAAGAGCTTCAAATAGGTTACCAGCCACAAATGCAAATTTCAAGTTGTTCCACTTGCCAGCACGGGAGGGCATTTTGGCTCTTACCACAGAAGATGATAAGTATATAATAAAGTGACCCATTACCTGTTTCAATGTCACTGTAAATATTCAGTGTCTCTTTCAAAGGAAACATGGCCCCTTTCTTGTAATGCTGCTTACAGACTTTTAAGCCAATTTTATTCTCTTCATTTTCTCCATAACCTACGGTCCCCAGGGATATGTTCTTTAGACGATGATACTAGTAAAAATAGTTAAATAAAAACACTTATGAGCTTTCACGAGCTTCGTCAGAAGTTATAGCATATGAAATACATTTTGCCTATTTTTTTTTTATTGTTTTGTATCATATCCCTCAGTAGAACTCCCCAACGTAAAATACCAGAAGGTCATTTTCTCAGGTGGGGCAGAAACACTCCACCTCAGAGAATTCAAAGCTAAAGTGACCGTGTGACAGACCTCGCACCTCCCTCAGCCCAAGCTCAGGTCCTGCCACGTTTCTGACCTAACAGCAAACCACTGAACCTCTACCTAGAACACCAGGTGTTCTATCTGCCAGGTCCATTGCTTCAGGTCTTGACTCAACATTCCCACCTCAGTGAGGCCTTCGTCCTGTGCAACAATAAACGCAAACTTCTATCGCCAGCTCACAGGCACCTGCAGCCTCTCCCAATCTCCTCCGCAGCTTCTTCCGCAGCAGTTATCACTTTCTGACAGACCACTGACATCCCAAGCCTTGCACACCCCACAGCCACATGAGCATGACCTACACTGGCTCACTGTCACTTACATTAACACGGCCTCACCATTTGCCTATCTGCACGAACAGGACTTTACCAGCCCCGTGTTCATTAATATGACTTTATTATTCCAGGAAATGTTCGCCCAGGAACATAAATGTTGCAAATAACTGTATTGTCTGTTTCAGGAGCATCCCCAAAATGCATTTAAATAGTCAATTTGAAGATTTAGTCTAATAACCCCAAGACTCCTTGAAATCACCTCCCAACCCTCACCTGGCTGTGTCCACCGGCCCTAAACAATTATATCATGATCTTCACCCAGTTCTAATCAAGCTCCCCCACACTGAAAGACCCCACCTTTCTGTCCTTACGTCAGACTTCAGAATCGATGTCTGGACACCCCCCTTCACCCAGGGCACGACTGAGAACAGTGAAGAGAGCACCTCCCTCACTGCTGTAAGCAATATTCAGCTTTTATCATCAACGTGCGTTTTTGGTGGTGTTTTCAGGGAGCCAGCGTTCAATACTATACATTTCAGTTCTTTTCATTTGTCTGGCCCTTCCCTCTAAAATTAAGTTCTACAAGGACAACAGGGTTTTGTCTTTTGTTTGTGCTGTATCCCCAGTGTCTAGAAGAGTACCTAGTACATGCCAGGTACTGAATGAATGAATGAATGAATGAGAGAGAAAGAATAAAAATAACAGTTTCTCCTAAATGCTTTCTTCGGGCCTACCAATCTGGTTTCTCAGTACCTGCCTAGATACAACTATATCACATTCCACTCCCTAGAACCTCAAATTCGGTATCTCATCCATCAAACCTTTTAAGATTATAAATCTTCTCTTGGCCATTTGATCTGGGGTAATCTCCCAAAAGTAGTTGGTGTGAAGGGCTAAATAAAAAAAGTAAATCTTGCCCTGGCTGGTTTGGCTCAGTGGTTAGAGTGTTGGCCTGCGGTCCAGAGAGATCCGGGTTTGGTTCCCGCTGAGGGCATATGCCTCTGTTGCAGTTTGTCCCCGGCCCTGGTTGGGTCGTGCGGGTGGCAGCCACTTGACATGTCCCTTTCATGTCCATGTTTCTCTCTCTCTCTCTCTCTTCCTCTGTCTCCCTCCTACTATCTGAACAAAAAATGGAAAAATGTCCTCAGGTGAGGATAAAAAAATGTAAATCTTAACAAAAAACTTTCAACACACCAAATCCATTGTGTGGAAATGCAGCTACAGAAAAAGCAATAAACATTTTTTGACAGACTATGCAAGTTTTAATTAAAAAAAAAAAAAAAAAATATATATATATATATATATATATATATATATACATACACACACATACATATACATAATTTTCTTTTTTGGCTAAGACAACAAGACCACGTATCATATATCCTAAAAATATAGGTCATTCACAACAAACACTTGCCTGATTAACAGCATAAAATATGCTCTCATAGGCATCCTCTTGGTTATATACACTGCAGCTGTAGTTGTCCTCATCTGTGCCGGAATAGCCTTTCAAAAACAAGTACTTAAAAGCAACCGTGTTTTCTTCCTTGAAAGCAACCACGAGCTGGTTACTTAAACCAAAACGAATAAGCTAGAAAAGAAAATCAAATAAGCATATGTGAATTTTACCATTTAAATGCCTCTTATCATCATCAGCCCTCACTTATAAACATCACCAAAAAAAAATCTCCCTGATTTGGTTTTTACTGATCACATCAATGTTTAAAAACAAGTCTCAAAGAAGATAAACTCATCAAGCTACAAGAGCAATTTTCCATAGCTTAAAATTAGAAGAGATTATCACTCTCAATGACCAAAGGCCCTGCTGGGTGTGTGTGTGTGTGTGTGTGTGTGTGTGTGTGTGTGTATTTGCCAAATTCTTCCTCATGTTATATGTTTACCATTGGTTTCTCCCAGCATCCTTGAGAACACAAGTCTGTTGGCCTTTAATGAAGAAGAAGAAAAAGAAGAAATTCAAATCAGTTAAGTCTGATTCCATCTTTCCTATACTTGGATTTCAAATTAATTGTTCTAAAAATTGGTGTACTCAGTAAAGCAATAGTTCATGTTTCATTGATTTAACATTTAGAAATCATAACTATTATTTAAAATCACAACTATGTTTTGAATGTGGCTTTAAGAATGTTTTTGAAAAGTGGCCTACATATACCTACTCCTGCTAAGAGGACATAGTCGTCAAAAGAATTCAATTACTCCACTTCTGCAAGAACTCTTCTATAAGAGTTATACCTAAGAGTTCCCTCTCTGAGATCTACAGCATCAAAGCATCAGAAAGACACTCTGGCCAGTTTGGCTCAGCGGTTGGAGCGTCGGCCTGCGGACCAGAGAGTCCCAGGTTCGGTTCCCGCTAAGGGCACGTACGGAAGGAAGGAAGGAAGGAAGGAAGGAAGGAAGGAAAGCAAGCAAGAAAGCAAGAAAGAAAGAATAGCAGGGCTCATTTCACCTCTGTGACGTCAAACCCATTCATTGTCATCAAATGCCTACCTTCCCTGATAAAACTCCTACGTATTCTCTCTTACACTGTATCCTAGCACAAGGTTAGGCACCAGGGGCTCTCTTCCTTAGGAGTAAAAGTATTCTTTCTGCCCCAGAGTTTTCTTCTTGTAAGCCAATAAGTGGGGGAAATTGGAAAACACTAAAGGTTAACCCAAAAAACCCGGGAATTATACACACAGCTACACACACAAGCAACCTCTTTCTCAATCACTCTCTCACACACTCTCGCTCACACACTTTCGCACACACACTCTCATGTACATACACACACTGATTCACCTGTTCATTCTCCTGACCACTTGTTTACACAATCTCCCAAACAAATATTGCCAACTTAACTCTAGAAGCAGTGATAGGAGACCCATTCCACCCATGCTCAAGTTAAGCTAAAACAAACAAACAAACAAAACACATGCAAAAATATCTGAAGGGGGGTGGACGGATAACTTGACCAAAAATGTGGCATACAGTTTGCTGATATTTTAAACCACCACCTTATTTAAACTTAATGCTTTGGGAATGAGAGAACTGGAGGTGTGACCCCCATCTGGCATCAGGAACAAAACAGTTCCTCCATTCTATTGTTCATAGAACTAGCCGAGGTCCACCTGTATAGCCTAGAATCAGGGCTGGGATTTGCAAAGCATCCCTCAGTAGAGGAGAAGAACCCTGAAGGGGAGACTGTGAGGCCCCCTTCCTGCTATGGAAGAATCAAACTCTCCCTACAGAGCAAGGGTAAGAGATGGTAGGATTGGCCAAATAAGTTTATTTTTAAAGAGGGGTTGACAGAAAAATGCATCTTAACCCCAGTAACTAAATCTTAAGATTTTCTGAGAATATAAGACCAAAGTAATTACACAATTAAGTGCAGTCTGGCAAAGATTTTAAATTTAAGACCTGATTATGAAATCAATCAGTGTAGGAGAAAATATTCTGTACCAAGTGAGAACAAGACACCACTCTAACAACATAAAAGAATATGGGAGGGAAAGAGGAGAGCTAGCAAAAGAATGTAGACAACTCTCTCAGATTATAAATCACTGCCGAATGGAGAGTAGGAATGTCTAAAAAAAAGGTTCGTTCTCATCAATCCTGATAAAATGCCACCCACCCCATTAGAATTGAGGGGGGTGCTAAATGAGACTGAAAAAGAGGAGGAAGGAAAATAGGATTTGAAGGAAGGAAATGTATTCAAGAAATCTGCTCCGGTTAGATGTCACCCAAGTAGTAAACCTTATTAGAATGATCCCATAGGTGAACAAAAGTTTCATTGCCCTCCTGAATTTTGTTAGGGGAGACAGGGTACACCTGCACAATCCCCAGAAATATTCTAAGTGAATATGTAAAATATTCCCAGGGGTCCTCGTGTACTAAGGAAATCATGTCAGGCAAGGTGGTGGGGGAGATGGACATCAAACCGTGCCTGCGAGGTAAGGCAGGAAAAAGAATCCCTCTAGACGTGGAGGAACAAACAGAGCAGGAATCGCTGGGTGAGGCCAGCTGGCTGGGATTGGGGATGAAAACCTGTTGGGAAGGCAAGTTGAAGGGGACTGTGGAAACCTGTGAGTACCAGGCTGCAGAGTCACGAGTTTCTTCTGTGGGAAGTAGTGTTCTACAAAAGTTTCTGAGTAGGAGAGCAGCCCCATGAAGGCATTCTAGGAAAGATTAATCTGACATTAGCATTGAATGGACTGGTATGTAGGTGGATAAGAAAGGTAGGCCTAAGATGAAGACTGAAATAGCCCAGTTAACTTCTCTGTCTTCCTAGACTGCACACTCTGAGGACCTATATTTGGAAGAGAAACAATATGAGAAGAAGGGTGTGGACTTCAGAGCCAGATTGCTGGGGCTCAAATTCCAGCTCCACCCTCCAGAGTCAACATAATTGTACAGTTTTATGAACTTGAGTGTGTTCTTTCCAGAACAAAAGTCAAGTGGCAGAACACATAAATACAGTTTCATCTTGGGGTAAGGAATACACCAAATGAACTCATAATATAAATTACCTGTGTGGTGACCATGAGTATCTTCAAAATCTGCAGACCCAGTTTCCATGGAATCTGGTGTCTGGCTCGGTACTTCTCACAAGGGTTCATGAAGTAAAACTTCAGGTCTTCCCTCAGACTTTCTTCTTTCACATCAGAATCAAGATGAGCCATTGCATTGCTGCCACAGAAGATCAATTTTTAAATACACAGCACAGCCTGGTCATCAGAAAGCTCTAAATAATACTTTCTGTTCACATGCTTTACCCATTCTTACAAATAAAACTCCCTCTGCAACGAGTGAACCTGTCTTCACTTTAGGAATCTGAAAATTATTCAGGACCCTCTATCATTTGCTTTTCCACACAGCTGTTTGTCTTATCCCAAATGGCCACTTTCAAAAATTATAAGACTAGCCCTGGCCAGTGTGGCTCTGAGGATTCAGCATCATCCTATGCACCAAGAGGTCACCGGTTGGATTCCCAGTCAGAGCACATGCCCCGGTTGCAGGCTCGATCCCCAGTAGGGGGCGTGCAGGAGGCAGCCAATTGATGTTTCTCTCTGATATTTCTCTCTCTCTCTCTCTCTCTCTCTCTCCCTCTTTCTTCCTCTCTCTCTCTCAAAGCAATACAAACATTTAAAAATATATGAGAATAAAATTTTATTTGCAAGGCTCATCAATTCCTACATTTTAACCTACAGCACTCACCTGCCACTGAACTAGATGGGATGCTTCCATGTACTTTGAATGGGAAGTCACAGAAATTTGGTACAGACTAATAAAAATAAATTGTTATAGAAATAGAGAATCTTTGTTCCATCACTTTGTACTGAATGAAGGATTATGTTCTCCTTTATTGGTAATATATCAGTGATTATGAGATCCTAAAATATAAATATCTTTAAAAAGTTAAAATAGCATCTCTGTGTTCATGCCTAGTCAGATATCAGTGTCACCTTACATTAGTAAAATTTGCTTTTACTATTTCAAGGACTCAGTAGTACACATATGACTCAAGCTAGGCCACAAAGAACCAATGAGATGTGGTCACAGGACTGTGATTACAACTGAAGGAAGAGATGTGGTCTTTCCACTAAGTAGTCCCCAGAGAGGGGTGTGCAAAACAAAGAAACTGAACTCTATCTACAATTAATATAACATAAAGTATAAAATAACAGTGGTATATGGTAGTCTATAACTTATAAATAAATATACACACATTAGGGATATATACTTAACTTTTTTTTTCTTTATCCTCACTCGAGGACATTTTTCCAATTTTTTTTGTTCAGATAGAGCAGGGGGGAGAGAGAGGAAGAGAGAGAGAGAGAGAAACATCGACGTGAAGGGACACATCGAGTGGCTGCCACCCGCACAACCAACCAGGGCCGGGGACAAACTGCAATCGAGGTACATGCCCTTAGCGGGAACCAAACTGGGGTCTCTCTGTACCGCAGGCCGATGCTCCAACCGCTGAGCCAAACTGGCCAGGGCTATATACTTAACTTTTATGTTGGGTACATAATCAACAAAGTTTGGAGATCAGAGACATAAAGCATAGCTTGTGAGTCTGAAGTTCCTAGAAGCCACCTCACCATCATAGGAGGGCTCGCCAGAGAGTGGCGCTAACACAGAAGAACAGACAACAGGACACTAGACCAACAACAGGGTTTAAGCTCCTGGATCCAGCTGTGCCTAAAGCCATCCTCCAAGACTTCCGATCTGAGCTAATAAATACCCGTTGGTGTTTGAGCCAGTTTGAATTAGATTTCTGCTTCTTACAACATGAAGAGTCTGGATAGCAAATTTAATAAATAAATTCTATTCAGTTCAGCCAGTCAAGCTACTCATTTCTTGGGATCTTCTTATAATTGGGGATCCTTCTTGGGGATCTTTTCACCTGAAATGTCTAAATGACATATTTTTATACTGACTTATGAACTCTGTTATCTACCTTGACTAACAAGTTTTAAAGAAGCCCAAAAGGGAAAGGCTATTTTAAGACCTTGTTAAGACTTATATACAGTTGTTCATAATTTTCTATTTTTATTTTTTAATTTATTTTTTATTACTGATTTTCTATTTTTAGATAGAGTTTTAGACCTCCTATCTCCAGAATTAGTAGGCTATTCAGAAGTTTTCTGCTTCAAAGGAAGAAAAGGAAGGAAGGAAGGAAGGAAGGAAGGAAGGAAGGAAGGAAGGAAGGAAAAAAGGAAGGAAAGGGGAGGAAGGAAAAGAGAAAAAAATGCTAGATAAAATGTATCTTTTAAGGGGGAGGTGGAAGAAGTACCTTGTTAAAAACAAAAAGAAACAAAAACTAGCAAAATGAAGTTGATAATGTCCTGAGAACAGTTCAGAGTGAAGCTGGGAGGCTCCAGGAAGTTGAGCTAATAGACCTCACCTCAGGTGAAACTGAACTCTTGAACTTGGCTACACCAAATGGCTACCTCCTGATACAGTTCTTAGAACAGACTGATTCCCTGAACTTTCTATTAAGAAAGAAATATTTCACCTAACAAAGCACATAAGCAAGTAATCATGTACAGTATAAATAAGTCTTCCTGTGAGCTCCAATCACAGCTCTTTCAACGTGTATAACTCCTTTAGAAGCTCCCCCTTTCTTGTCTTTATAAACTATGTTTTCTTCTTTCCCCTCAGAACACAATTGGATTTCAAATCTGTGTATCCTGGATTGCAATTCCTTAAAAAAAAAAAAAAAAAAAAGCCCCCCCCCCCCACCACCACCAAATAAAGCTTTTGTTCTTCGCAGTTTTTGATCAAAATTGATTGACAAATTGTAAAAGACCGAAGAGTTAAAAGTGCACAAGTCCTGGGGATCTCATGCACAGTATAGAGAATGCAGACAACAATACTGTATTATTGCCAAGTGACTAGATCTTAATTATTCTCAGCACAAAATAGAAATGATAATTATGGGACGTGATAGAGGAGCTAACTGTGGCTACAATGGCAATCACATTACAATATATAAATTAATCAAGTCAACATGTTGTGCATCTTAATTGTATATAATATTATATGTCAAATATACTTCAATGGAAAAAACAACACTTATAAAAAAGATGTTTCTAAAAAATTAAAGAGAGCAAAGAACTCCCAGGCCTGTCTTGAGCGGTCCTGGTGAAGTAGGAGCCCACAGCCATCCCTGCACACTTGGGCTTCTGCTGTGGCCCCAGGAAAGGGGAATAAGGGAGCCAAGACTTAATGCCCAAAGCCCACCCAATGTATAAAAGGAGAGCCCCCTCAAATTTAGACAGGCTCCAAAGAGCTAGCCCCTCAGAAAAATAACCAGCACCCAAACCGGCTGCCCCCCAAAATGTAGAGTACTGTAGAGAAAGCCAGAGTAGTTTCAAATCAAAGAGCAAAAAAGGAAATTAAAAATATAGGCCTATCCTGAGAAATGAGGGCCAAAACCCAGCCCTTTGAGCCTCAGGCCTAGGTGAGCCAGAGAACGTCAAACCGTGAGCTTGCCTTGTCCGGGGGCGCAGCCTGGGATTGCCCTCCACCTCCCGCAAACAGGGGGCCTCTCCAGAGGTTCACCCTAGGACTTGGGGTGCTCTAACAGATCATGTGTTAAACACATTTACCAGTAGTAAAACACAACCAAGCTCGCGAGGAAACCAAGTAACAAGAAACAGTCAACTTAGAAACAGGACCAAGTATATCGGACTCAGACGCAGGTTAGAAAACAATCCCGCTTCCCTCATCGAAAGACAAATGCAGTACAATACCTATAAGACAAGCTTGGGAAAAACAAAGGAACTTTCAGAAATGAAGTATAATTTAGCATAATGAGTCTCATTTCAAAAGAATGAGAAGACTCTTGAAATGTGTTTGCCCTGCACCTGTTCTAATGACCTCTTGATTCGATCTACCAACTTACTCAGCATTTACTGTGCTGGGCGACCGTGCTGGGGGCTAGGGACACAAAGCTGAACAGGTTCCCTGCACTTCACATGCCCGGTGTCCAGGGGAAGACACAGCCTTGTGAGTGCACAGCCACAAGCCAGCAAACAGCTCAGGGAATGCTGCGCCATAGTGGGAAGAGCATTGTGGAAGCAGAGTCCTGACTCTGGGAGAAGGGTTCAGAGAGCCAAGGGAAAGGCCATCAGAACAGTCATCATCCACGGAGCGGTAAGTGCTATGAGGACACTTGATGAGGAGCATCGAGGGAGGATGTCCGAGAACAAGGTGGCATCTTCACTGTGGCTCCTCCAACATGAACTCTCAGGTCCCCGAGAACATGGATCTGTTAAATTATTTACATGACTGTATCCTTCCAGAAGTCTTTCACTTGGGCATTAACAGAGCTGCTACAATGCTTCTAGCACCGTGGTGAGTTAGAAAACGGGAAAAACTACCATGAAAAGCATTCCCCTTCTGTGTACAGGAGCCACTGGGTGAAGTACAGACTAGTGCCGGTCAAGTGTGGTCAACGGGTGATAGGAATACAAGAAAAACTTAGTTTATATGAATATGAAGTTACACGATAAGACTGCTGTTTTGATTTCTGTTTGTTTTTTAAAAAAATAAATTTAATGTAAGTGTAGAAATAACATCCAAAGTTTGGAAGAAAAGGTAATGATATTTTGGGTTGAAAATTCTAGTATGTCAGGGAACATGTAAATGTATAAGCTTTCTAATCTTTCTTTTCTGAGGGCTCTTTCTTGCTCCCCCTTCCCAATTTGTAGATTCACCTTATTTCCCGGGTAGGTGAAGGGTATTAAACACAAACACAAAACACAAGCGCATGCATGCACACTCACACACACACACACACACACAAGCAGACAGACATCTTATTCCTGTAACAAAACTACAATGGTAAAAAAAAATAGTGCAAAGAGAAAAGAAGAAAATTTACTAAAACACAAGAGAGACAGGACAATATCATAGGACTAAAACATTCCTGCCTTGGACCCCTACTTCTCCAACACCCTCGAGTGCTGAGTACCGGAGCCTTGAAAGCTGTAATTACAACTTCATAAACCAGAACTAAGTCAGGAGGAGAAATACTGCAACTTGCATCCCACATGATGGAAATTACCAACGAGTTTAGAAAAGGACAGAGAGATGCTCACTTGTAACACAACTCAGGGGAAGTGGAAGTGACTACACCATAAAACCAGTTAAGGAACAGAAATCAGTGAAGATCTGTA